TATTAATAATATCGCGTAGGTACGCGACATTATACGATTTTTTTTTTTCTAAATCTCCGAAATATTTGCATAACGTTTATTAAAATTCGGTTTTGCAAACTGAAAACTAATAACTGCTCATGCGACACATACAAAAGCGACAATATTAAAACTAGTTACCTACTGAAATAATATTAAAAAATATAAAAATATACTTTCGACGTTTAATTTAACGATAATTATATTTTTATACCAACGAAATTGAAAATATAATACACAAATATACCTGCCTACTTTATTACTATGCACTTATTAGGTCTAAAAATAAAACTAACGGATTCAGATTTAATCACGTTCTTCAGACTATTATTTTTTTTTTTTAATGGTTTAGATTCTAAACTCTAGAATACCATCAATATAAAAAATAATATTTTTTATAGTCATATTTATTTATAGTATTTTTTGGTTTTTATTAGAATAAATTAATTATCAAAACAACTTATAGGCGCGTCGAATTGATATTCCGTTACTGAAATGTTCACCAGTTATACAGTATAATTAATCAAAAACATCGGAACTCCACATATCATTAAAAATATTATCGTAATAGAAGCGTTTTTCAACAAATGACGAGTTTTCTCCGTCTGACTCTATTCACGCTATTTTCTATTTTCACTCGTATTCCTTGAGTGACGAGTGTATTTGTTTAAATCTTCTCAACGCTTTTTAGGTCGACTACTCGGTTTTTTCCCGTTTATCATTCTTTGTCCTAAGGTATTCTTCAAATGTCGTTTGATCTCCAGTGCACTCGAGTCGTTTGTTGCTCGTGAAATAACTATTAAATACCGAGTTTCAGCTAAAATAATACTCTATTACTTCTCATCCGGTACACTTGATTTCCTAAAATCGGCTCACGAATCCGTCAAAGTACTATTCTTTAAAAACAAGACGGTTTTTCTTCAGTCTATTTTGGTAAGCGGCCATTATATATATGGACGAACGCATGTATCACATGCATACCTCAAAACTAGTCGTAGGAAACTTGAGTACAAGCGAAAAATATACATTTATAGAAGGTGGTGTTTTAGCTTTGCTCAATCCTGGAGACTCGAAGCTTATTGGAAGATGACCTTTTGAATTTCGTTAGTGGCAAGAAAGTTCTTTTGAAGTGTTTCAACTCCCGTTCTCGTATCATTTTCAAGATTAAATTTGATGTATTTATTGAAAATACCAAATTTTAAATATTCTCAGTACAACAAACTATTCAAATTAAGTAACGGCAACAAGAAGACTACGGGACAATTACACTTTACAGTGACGGAGATTTGCTATTGCTCATCGGGTGTTTTTAAATTTACTTTTAAATACGTCACATTTATTTTTAACGGCTATTTTTAAGCTAAAAATAGTAGACTTAAACATTATTACTGCATTACGAGTTTATTTTGAAGTGTTTGATTTGGGATTATAAACCATTTTTTGAGGTTTTTAGTGCATTAAATTCACAGCTCTTTTATAATGGTATTAACTAATGTGTGAATTAATTTCACACGACAATGTGGCTACATACGTATAATAACGAAAGTGACGATACATTTTTTCTGTGAAAAAGGACTCAAGTCAATAATATTGTTCTTGGTGTAAACGTAACATCGGTTTTTTGAATGGCACACCAACAATATAGATTGCAATAATTTATTTTTCGAATCGGTTATTATTTTTAGGTTGATTTCGTTGCCCGATATGTAACAATAAATATGTTACGTACGCAAACGGTAATCCGCAGTTTAACATAACCTTAATTATTACTGTAGAGTCGAATACAATAATATTCGGCATTGAAATCTGACAATTATACTTAGCGAATAGTTGTACGTAAATGGTTTAAATATATTATATAGGTACCTACCTACTTAACGCGGCCTAGTTATTCTCGTTTTCGTGTATTTCCCGCAGAGCTTGTACGTATGTGTAGTTTTTTTTTCCTTCCGTTTAATAACACGCTGTTGTTAATGTACATATTATATACGTAGGTAATGATATTATTAAATATTTTCACACGAAGTTTTAATTTCACATAATTTGCAAAACAAAATAGATCCATCAGTTGAAGAAGAATACAATTTGTTTTTTTTTTTTTTTTTTTAAAAAAACCCGCTCGCCAAAAACTAATAGTATAATTGCATTTAATGTTGAACTACTTTTTACTGTAGGCATTTTCACATTACGAAAAAAAAAAAAAAAAAAAAAAAAAATGATTACTGATATAATATGTGTCACTCACACGACCGAATTATTGTGTTGTATTGCATATTGCACTAAAATACTGTCAGTGGCGTAGGCACAAGCATACTATTATAATGTTATACATACTTTATGCGTGTAATAATTTAAACAAAATAAGTATTTTATACGCCGACAAATGCGGCCAAAATCGTAAGGTAAACAAATTATGTTGTTTATTTTACCTGTTGTCAACTGTTTGGAACCAGGAAACCAAATAATAATATTCAACCGACTGGAATTCTATTCGAATACATCTAAAAAATAGATGATTTCCTTTTAAAAGCCTAAAGTTTTTTTAACCGCGGTAACCGCGGTTCGCGGACTTGATTATTTTTTCGGAAATCACTATTTCACGTGTTTGTTTATTGTAAAACTCGTGAAGATCATATCTACTTATATTATGGGTTCGGTTAAAGTGACCAAAGAACAAAATACGCACGTCCGTATACCAAAAATATCGTATTTTCACGTAACTCGTCAGAACAATGCTGTTAGACGAGATCATAATGCATAATCGATAGGATTGGGTAGACTTACAGAGCCTTCCAAGATAAAAGCCGTCTATAATGTAACGTAATTACAATAATAATGTCAGTCTGTCTGCATAGGGATAATTTTTTAAAACAATCTATGAACGGTGTGTGACACTGTTTGATTGCGAAACACGGATAATTAGTTCAGTTGAAAAACTTAAACCGAAAGCCTTCGAGATATGATGCTTCAGAAAACTGTCGAAAATTGCATTAACTGAAATAGTTACAATTGCAAACGAAGAGGTTTTAACGGAATAAATGAGGAAACAGCGACTATGGAAATGTACTCAACCCAGAAGAAATAAGACGACAGTATATACATATTGGAGATGTTGAACGATACGCGGGAAAAGAAACAACAAGTGCAGAATATATTATTATGAGCTAAAACCGCGAGAACGACGTGAATAGGGTAAAACACAAAGATCTATAGGAACTATAAGCTACAACAGAGAGGTATCAACTGAAACAAACTAATCGTACGATTGTAACCGGAAAAAGGTAAATTCATTTAGGTTAGAATAGGAATTTCGTAAGTTGTTGTTTCTAATATTATGGTATACAACGCGTGCATTTTTTTCTGACGAACGTTTTTTTTTCTACCGGAAACGTCTTTTTCGCAATGCGGACATTCTTTTCCTATACATAGACCCATATCTGCATTATAACATTATTTATCGGTGTATATAATTATTATAACAAGGTGCCTTAAATGTCTTCGTGATACTATCAGGTGGGCACGATAACATAATAGGTATACTCGTACCGATATACGTATACAAGTGATTATTATCTCGGCTGCACTTGTCGTCGTTGGCGGCGTGATGGAGGTAAAGGTAGGTAAGTACCACGACACCGCACGCGGTCGACCGTCGTCATTGTCGTCATAATAAAAACAACAAAATATCCTGGTGTATTTGTTACTATAGCGGGGATCATAAATTTAAACATTTGCATATTTTGTTTTAGCGATCTTAGAGATACTTACGTGAGCAATACATTTGTTACGGGAAATTACAAAGCTATACACGAATTATGTTTGTTGCTTTTTTTTTTTTTTTTTTTTTTGTATGCTCAGCGCTGTTTCAATACCGTAGGCTTTAAAATGTACTTAATAACAAGAATAATTTAAACAGTCATGAGTATCTGCACGTTCATTTTGTTTCTACTAACGTCAGCTGCAACTGGAAAGTAAAATCATATCGATACGGAAACCCCCTAAAATTGCGTATCGAGCACATTAGTGTTTTGTTTTTGTATTTTGTAGATATTCCCCGGTATCGTTTTTATTATTATTGTTTTGCGTATTTTATCATTTTCAGCGCATATTCGAGCGCTTAGAAGTGCATATATTATCGCGCTTACAGCGCTTATAACCTGACCTTTTTCAGAGCTACAATTTATGTAAGTATATCCTCGGCGGTATTTAAAAAAAAAAAAAAAAATTTTTTTTTTTTTTTTTATGGGGCAACAACAAACTAGCCGTCGGTCATTAGGTCGTCACGGGGAATCTCCGCGGCCGCGTCGTCGTCGACCACCGCGGTCATCGCAACCGCATTAGGGCAGTCTGCGGCGTAATCCGCGCGCGCGAGCGGCCGGTCCATCACGTGTGTCGTTTACTGTTCGCGTAATACAGACGGATGTACGGATGTGGCGTCCGCTCGGTTACGGGTCATTTGGTCGCGGCGGCTACGGCGGAGGTCAACGAGCAATACCGGCGACGACGGCCGGTTTTTTTTTTCTTCTCTAATTAATGACTGAGACGGCGCGATTTAATGAAAAAAAAAAATAATAAAATAAAAATAAAATAAAATACAAACTACTTCTGTATATAGATGTATAATATTATACATGTATGATATATGGTACGTTACTATATAACACTATTATCGTGTGTGCCTCCGTGCCCCCATCGCGTCGTCCGAGGGGAGGGTAAAGTTATATATTTTATATTATACAGTAATATAACCGAGTATAGCGTGCGGCGGACACCGCGATAGTAATATTAGTAGTAGTAGTAGTAGTAGTAGTAGTAGTAGTAGTAGAAGTAGTAATAGTAGTAGTAGTCGGTGTACACAAACGACTGTCTATAGTAAACAGTATAGCAATAGTAGTTCGGATATATACCTGTAATGCGGAGCGTTGCGTTTGTAGAAGAAGTAAAATAGAAAAAAAAAAAAACGCAAAGAAGAAAAAGAAGAAGGAAACGCGGTGAAAGATCTACGGTTGTGCCAGCACGCGGCGGCGGCGGTGGATTGAGGTTAACCTCATTCGTTCGTTGGCACAGACCGCGGCACCATGTCCGAATCGCGTGAGTGAACCGCCAGTGGTTTTTCGCCGACAATTTTACGATATATAATATTATTAACGTCGTATCGTCGTTGTACGAAATACACGCATACGCAAACGCACACGAGTCTTTAACACTTCCGGTGTTGCATGTGCGCCGCGACAGTGTTTTCTATTTTTTTTTTTCACCCCGTTTGAGATTCGATCATTTTATTTCGCCGGTTAAGTTTTCTTTTCTTTTCCTTTTTTTTCGTATTCGACGTGCGTATAATATTATGTTGTGAACTGTTTATTTTGGCGAAATGTTTGGCGCGCCGTCAAAGGATTACGAGTTCGCGGTTTACTCTGTGTAGTGTTTCCGATCGCCGTGTATTGGATTTAACAGTGCAAAACACCGACCGACGCGCGTTCCAGAAATGGCTACGAGGCGCAAGAAGCTGTTGCCCGCCAGAACGCTGGTGTTGGCCCTGGCGTTGGCCAGCCTTTTTGTTTTCGACTGTTTAGCTATAAGTGCAGGTGAGCGACAATACTTTATTATTAATTTTGTTTCCCTTTCGTTAGATCCTTTGGAAATTTTCGCGATTTTCGTGTAGAGGAATCTTTGCCGACGATCCAGTCGCAGTTATGTAGGATCAAGTTTAACGTTAATTTTCCGACGCGTGCGATTTTCTTCTATTTTTCTAAGTTGTTTTTTTTTCCAATTTTTTGTTTTTTAGGCTTTTTATGATCCAAACGTATATTGTAGGTATACATACAATTTTTTTATTCTGTACAGCTAAACGACATTATGAACAAATTTTCACGTATGCAATATTGTGAATATTGAAATATTTTTTTTTTTATGAAATGAAACCAAAAGCTGGTTGATATACTCAGAGGAGTGTTTTTACTATAGAGAGAGAAGATTTTTTTTTTTTTTTTTTTAAACAAAATCTGACTAAAACGTTAATTGTTTAATTAAAACTATTTTTATTTTTATTTTTTTTTTTTTGATGTAAACACTACACGGATTATAACGAACGCATTATAATGTTATTATTATAGGTGTTGCGTATACTTGCATTCAACTCACTAGAAACACGCCGTCGAATAATTGTAGGGCATACGATAACTATAAACAATATTTGTACCGGGCTGCGGATTGTTTTTTGTCGGCTAGTACCGCACGCCGTTTTTCTTGATCAAGTCTCTCCGGTTATGGATAAAGCCCGTACGCGTCTAATAACGTCCGAATCGACGTATCGCGGGTACGCACGCACTGCGACGCGTTATCGTCGCGCGTCGGCTCGCATTCGCCGTCTTCGCTTTCTTTCGGAACGGTAATATTCGCTCTGTTATCATTGTTCGGCGTTATTCTATTTGAACGCGCCATCGGGGCGCTATGTGCGTGTGTGTAAACGATACGCGTGTACACGCGCGGCGCGGGACGAACAATAGCGAACACCGCGGCAGTAGACGCCGCGGTGAAGGTCGGATACCGTGATACAATAATAAAATATTATATTTGTGAAACAAATTAAATACAATAGGAATAGAAAAAAAAATAATAAAAAAATAACCCCATAGAACACACGTAAATTGAAATACATATTATATCGTATGATTTCGCGCGCGCGCGCGCGCGTGTGTGTGTGTACGCACATAGACAATAATAATAACAATTTAATATTCTTGAATTCTCTATTAGCATAACGTCCCATTATATTATACGCGCATAGAGGATGCAGTTTGTTTTCGTTCGTTCTTACGAAAAACAGCGTGGCGTTTATTGCCATTGTTTTGTTATTTCACCGCAGTGTAATGCGTTATCCGAGGCATGTCGCCCGCGGTCGGACGACCGCGCGGCGCTATACGACATCGTTGTCATTTCGTTTCTCGTGCGGTATAATATTATTATCGTTATTGTATTATACCGGCGAAAAATTATCGCATAATCGCTCGTGGGCGTGCAGTCGCGGTGTACACTGTGTACTACCCATTATATGTTATTACGAATGCGCCTATAGATAAAAACAAAAAAAATTAAACCGTCGAGAGCGCCGGCTGCGGCGGTGTTTGTTGTCATCGTCACGTATCTATGAATGTATAATATTATGTACCCATAATAGGTGCGTATACGTATATTAAAAAAAAAAAAAAAAAAAAAAAAAGTAAAAGTCTATTGTATTATTCGCGATGTGATATTATATTGCGATGGCGAACGAAATAATACAAAAAAAAAAAAAGTACAATAAATCAAAACGCGCTCGAGAGTGTGATCCGGGAAGCGCGCCATGCACTCGCGACGGGCCGTTAAAGTCTCCGCGAGTATCGCGTAATGATATTAACAATATCGCCGTTATTATTGCAGCCGTCCGTTTTCGCCTCCTACGCGTTTTGTTTTGTGTTTCGATTTTTAGTTATTTTTTTTCCCTTGTACGCGGATACATACCGAAATACTTTCTACGCACAAACGTTTGAATTAATGAGTTTATTACGCGGCGCATGGCTCGGACTGCCGCACGAAACGAGTTAATGAAAACGCGTATAGGTATATTTAATATCGTTTTATTCGTCTTTGAAACAACGATTGGTTTTTATCGCGTGCGGTGTTTAAAAAAAAAAAAAATAATAATAATATGTTGTACCCCGTCGGCGGCGAAAGTGGTCGCGCGTATGCGCCAGTTCCCGGTGGCTATTTCGATTTTCAATAATGCGATTTCGATATACGAATCCCGACGAGATATTATAATGCACATATAAATGACTCGTATATTCTTGTTATACACAGCCAACTCGAGGCGATCAATACGCCTATACATATTTTATTACAGTTTTCTTGTCGCGACGCCGTATAAAGGAAAACTTCAAAATCCAATTCATTTATGCTATTTTAATTGTTGCAAAGCGATACTGACCAGATACAATCGCGCTATGACTGGATATAAAATATTATTACGTTTAAATGATACATTGATAAGTGAAATGCAAGTCGGTCATAGAGTTTCAGCTGCGGCTGCAGTATATCGATAATATAAACGCGTCGTTTGCGATCGTTTGCGTGCCTGTTTTATTCTGTACACGCGTATATACAGATAACTTTGTGTCCCCATAAATATATATAGCTATCTAGTTATTAAATACCAACAAGGACAGATCAATGTACCCGATCGGTTTTGTTTTTTATTGTTATTATTTTGTTTTCTCGTTATTGTACTCTAGTCGTCGTAGAGATATATTGGTGAACCTGCAGCAGTAGTTGGCGCGACGAGCCATAGCGGTTCCAGGTGAAATCCTCCGTGCGCAGAGACGTAAGACTGCAGTTTTTCGATAGTATACACATACACATGTACACAGTTACAGCAATCATTGTTAGTGTCAATTCAAATTTGAAATTTATAATTGGCCGAGATGAATTTATAAGGAAAAACCGAAAATCTCGAAAAAAAAAAAAAGAATCAATCGGATTTAGTCTAGGCGAAAGTAAATTATTAACAAATAGAGGGTACAAAAAGAAATAAAAGGAATAAAAAGCCGAACAGTTCTCGGTTGAAACGCAAATGTCAGTATACCAAAATATATAAATAGACGGTTTTTGTCTGCACGATACGTCAGATTTTAACATTTCTCGGTCTTTATAATATTATGTTGGTTCTGTAGAAAAATGTGTAGTATGTTTAACGACAGCACTTTTTGACAAACATTTGCCGTGAAAAATGCGACAAATCAATATTTAACTGTGATAAACGTGATTGGCCGTATGGCAACTAGAAAGCATTAAAATGTTGTGAGAAAAGCCGTAAGTCATATCCATTATCCGTATGTGCACGAGGCGATAAGTACCTACTGTGCGCCCATATAGGTCTGAATAATTTCGTTCGCATTATACACGATGAGTGAACGAAAACTGTTACTTAAAAATGGAACTCGATTGTAAAAAAGTTACGATAATGATTAAAAATATTAATTTTTTGATATTTTTTTCAAAATAATCATTCGTCGTTTCCCGATACATTTGAATTATTTTCAACGTATCGTGTTTCTCACGAAAACCGTCTGAATATATCGGGAACTTAAGGCAAACGGATCGCGTATACAATTTGTGTAACAGTCGTCCGGGGGAAAGAAGATTTGGCGGTTTCGACGTGACGAAGACAACAATGTGGCGCAGCGATGGAGGAGGCGGACGGGGGAAAAATAATCGCCGGACGACGGCGGGCCGGTCGTGGGTTACCGCGAGGCACTGCAGCAGCGGCGGCGAGTCTGTTCGTCTGACACAATTCCTCTGGCCGGACCGGAGCCGGAAGCCTCCGAGCAATACTATAAATATACGCGACTACTTACCTACCTACATATACGTATATATATATATATACGTTTATACATATGTATGCGTTTACTATATTATATCTATACACTGTACACCGGGTGTATACGTATGCATGTATGAAAACCAGTCGAACCACACTCGGTTTTCGCGCTATCCTCTTACCCACGCTTCGGTATAATATAATAATAATAATAATAATAATCGTAATCAAATAATCGTATATTATATTAGTGAACGTAATCTATGCGCGAGCAAGGCGACTGTATGAAAAAAAAAAAATAACGAATTTTTTTTTCGATGGCGACGGGGGGGNNNGGGGTGGGTGGGCGAAGATTGTATTTACGGAGGTCTACGGAGTTTGAAGTTAGGTTAGTCTGATGTCTATAAAAAACAAATGCATACGTTTTTCCGACGATTCTCCAAAGTTTTCGGGTTTTGAGATTCGGCGAAACGAGCGAAATAGTTTTTTATATAGGTTTATTGTGTACGTGTAGGTACCTAGGTACCTACGTACGGTGGATCGACACGTGTTGTTGGAATTTCTGCCTGAGAACACATACACATAACCATTGCATGTACACAATCGCGACAAATTAAATTTCCCCATATTCAATACGTTCTAAATATAAGAATTGTAATACAGCTGTTTCTATACGCAATTTTTTGTAAACTTGATTACACATATTAGGTATGCCTAATGCCTATATGAGTTTTGATAAGTTTTTCGCAGTTTTTGACTACTGTTTGTGTCGATGTCTACGAAAAAGTTTATGAAAATGAAACTTAACGCCACGTTGGGATATCGATCTGTCGAGATTTAGATTTATCGAAATTGTCGTCATTACACCGAGATTCTGAACAGACCCCGTTTATCGGGATAGATTCCGTTTCGATTGTGCACGATCGGTTAGATTTCGATTATGTCTACTAATCGATCCGAAACTTATACGAGCTTATGTATTTAATTTATTTTCAATTACATCGCCTCGATAACGAATCTCTACACAATAAAAGTGTGCGAAATATTTCCGAAAGGACGGGAAAGTGCAGTATAATACATGACATAATAATATTACAATAATTATACAATAAACATCGAACCAATGCGAAATAGCGAAATCGCACACCTTATTTATTTCGCGGCTGTATTCCGATCAATAATATTAATACGATCATTATTCGCACAATACTTATATAATAAAAAAATATAATAATTTTATGACGTGTGCCAGCCCGAGCCAATGCAGTTCCCAAAACACGTGCCGATTGACACGCGTTCGTACATAATATAATATTACACGTTTCGGGAGACGGGTCGACGCGACGAGCCCGCATTCCGTTCGGACGTTATTCAGCTCTTATCGACTTAACAACCGGTCAGTTCTGTACTTCTGAGTATACTTACCCCGTACTCATCATTACCGCGTGTCGACTGGCGCGGCCCAAGGTTCCGAAAAAAAAAAAAAAATAATAAAAATAATAATAACAGAAATACGACAGGATCGAAAATAATACTAAAATATTTTTGGTGCGCGGTCGCAACGCGACGGCGTGAATTCACCGAATCCGATAATCCCCATAACATACGACCGGCACGACGACAAAAACACGTCGATTCGAGTACGGGTGTCCTAACCTATTAATCTTGAAATTTAATCGCCGAAAGTCATTGGACGGGGCCGCGGAAATCCGGGTTACACGTACGGATCGTCGTCGTCGTCGTCGTCACCGTCGTCACGTGTGCGATTCGTCGCGAGCGGAATAATACACGGTCGACGCCTACGATAATACTATTATTCTCGGCGTTATCGAGAGCCGATTGTAGCGTGTTGATTTTGAAAACGCGCGTGTGTATCTACACCTACTTACCGATAAAATAATCGAGTATCGCCGTAATATACCTGTCTAATGTTTATGTTATTTGGTGGCGGACCGTCAGTGTGCGGCCCGGGTTGTATTATTATTATTATGATTGCGTAGCCCGCGGCCGGTGCTGCCCACGAAAACAACGATCCGCGCTACATAATATCGTTATACTATCGTTATTATTATGTTTACGACCTATAAATGAACGGGCGCGCGCGCGCGCGCGCATTAATCGTTTTTGGAAAAAAATAATAAAAATTTACGGAATGGTGTCGGCTGGTCTATTTTCGAAAAAACGTTTCGACGACGTGCAGTCGCCTTCGTCGGACACGGCGCGCCGCGTTAATATTATTACTGCGGGGTGCGTTCGAACGGCCGGAAATCTCGCACCTATGCGTATTTTAATAGTCTAATAATAATTATCGTACCTGTATAATAATAGTAATGGTTAGGAATTTCTATTAAACCGTCGAAAGCATACTTGAATAATTGGGATAGTATTATTCTACGTAAACGTGTTACGAATTAGCGATATAGATTCTACGCATACGACTATAGTGTTCGGTTGCTTTCGGAAGTGATTCGGCCACGCGTTTATTTTGTCGATTTATAGTAAGTTTTCCCTTGTTGAAGTTTACGACTTTTCTCAATGTTTCCTATAAATAAAATAGAATATTAGATAGAGTAATATTTAGTTTATACGCAACGATAGATCATCGTTAATGAAAAACGATTCTGAACAGAGTATTATTAGTCGTATGGTTTCCCTTGTTGCCGAGTCGATCCGGAAATAAAACAAATTTCCGAAAAATCGCCAGTTTTCTTCCGCATATTAAAAGAAAAGTTATCAATAAAATTACCCCTCAATGCACCAACTAGATAGAAAAAAAAACGCTATTTGTCTGGTGGAAAAATAGTTTACAACACACGAAAAAAAAAATCGCAGTGAAATCAATTATTCATTCCTGACTTCGCTCAGAATCTATAACAATGTCGATATTCTCAGGCTGCGTCTCGTATTTCTAATGTTTTTATTCGAAACCATAACTACCCGCCGTTTCGCTATAAATCCGCCGGACTTTTCTCGAATTTCAACCGTTAAAGACGGTTTGTTTTCGATACGGTTTCACAAAACGTCTGCGATTGCAGCACCGAACGTAAAGTTGTATAATTACAGTAATTGTTATTAGTACAGACTGCAGTTTGTTTTTCGTATGTTATCATCGTGTTACACGTTACGTGCGACAGCAAATTATCGGTTTGTAAATAGAAAAAAAAAATAGAGTTACACAACGATATTACACACGCGTCGGGATCGTCGTGATGTCTATAAAATAATAGAAGCGCCGGTTATTATGCAGTTGGGAAGAAAAAAAAACAAAATGCAACTCGACGAAGACGGTTTATAATACGTATTATGTATACGTATACATAGTATACTTCTATTAGGTTGTGACATTTTTTTTTTCTCCTCGCTCTTCGCAGAACAATAATTACGACTCTGGGATAATGTCGTAATAATAACCTCTATGCCTACCTATCCAACACTCGGATGACCTACATGTCCGCGATGTATTTTTTGGTGGAGGGCATATTTTTTCCGATCGAGACCGTTCCGGGGGATGAACAAAACCAGGTTCTGTTTTATCGTAAATCGGTTGTGTTATAATAACGACGTCACAGTAATACCGCGGTCATCGTTGTCGGTATACAACGCCGGGTGGCAATACCCATAAACTGTAATATTCGAAACGTCAGTCGAACAAATTTCGCGTGGTTTTTTTAAAAAATTATTATTATCGTTTTTCCCGTTTATACGCTAATGGTACACAGGCACGAATTGCCGTTTTTACGTTGGATACAATATTTTCCGACAGACAGAGATAGAGAGAAAGAGGGTTGGCTTTCTTTGTTTCGGCCTCCAAGTATAATATAATATTTCGCTATCGTAAAAAAATTCGTCGCGATGGGCTCTAGTGAATCGTACTACTACCGAGTACTGCCGATATAAATGCATTTTTTTTTTTCCGCGAAACATATATAACAAGCATAATTTCCGACGTAAGAAATGGTGGCCGCGATCCGCGAACGAACCGACCCGACAATGCGAATTCAAAAGCCGGAACGGAAAAACGGGCGATTCGTGTTCAACACAATCCCGCCATCCCCCCCCCCACCCCACCCCGCGTTGTATTTCGGCTGAAATACCGTCTTGCGCGATTTCGACAATCTAAATCATACACGCTCGCGCGGCGGTCGTCGCGATTTCAACCGGGCGGTGCGAATGGCGGGGGAGGGCCGGGTGTCGATATCGCCTGTACCGGGTCAATACGAAATACATTTCGTACGACCGGCCGGCCGGCCGCCTAACGGGACGATCGTCGTCAACGGCGGTGCACTTACACGCAGGCACGTACGGCGACGCGGGTCGGCCAAGTACGAACTTCCACGGCGCAAACACGGCCGTAATACTCGTGCGAGCGCGTACAACACGCGTGTGTACACGGGCCGCGAGAGTGAAAGGATATAACGACATCGCCGGTCGGACGTCAAACGAAACGATACCGGGTGTATACGATAATATTATTATTATTTATCGCCGGGAATGAGATATTATACGCGTACGCGGCCGTGCCGGCGTACGGGTACCCACCCGCGTTATGAGCGTGGAATGTCCGTTTAAATATCTCGTCGCACGGTAGTGTATTCTATACATAAGTCGTACCGCGGCGTCAGAAGAGAACGATTGTTATTATGCACCGATCGAGTTTCTAGCGTATTATACACGTACACACGGGACGGCTTACTGTATAATATAATATAATGGTGAATACGAACGCAGCCTTGACGTTGAACGCCAATCAAATTCTCGTCCTGAAACCCGCCGCCGCCGTACGAGAATCGGTCGTTAATTAAAACGTTGATATCTCCGTGCGGCGGCTGTACGGGTCTATATCGGTAAAAGATATATGAGAAGAGAGAAAAAAAAAAAAACGACTAGACTAGAATATATTCGGATACAATATTAATATACAGGCGCACGGGTTATTTACAGACAATGGGTGCCGTCGACTTTCGGATGGTCGCCGTTGGTCGAATTTCCCTGAGGCCCGACTTGTTCCGAAACGATCCAAAATGTAATCGCCCGGTTTTCGAAGCCCGCGATCCGAGCGCGTCAATAGTTAAAAGTCTGTTTATACCTCCGATAGATGCATTCTCGATACTTTCCGCGACAACACGTCAAGGCGAAAATCTTATTGAAATCCGACCCGAACTGTATCGCTTTAATCCGCCTATATATTAAACAAAAAAAAAAAAATAGAACTCCTGTTCCTGAGTTTAAGACCGTTCGGTCGGGGTGGGGCCGATAAAAGTGTCAGAAAACGGCGGGACAGTGCATCGCGAATGCTCGGTTATTTCGGTTTTCGCGGAATATCCGACGGAAACCGTTTATCAGTTTTTTTTTCTGAACGCAGTCATTGTTATAATCCGTTATTGTTACAATCAGGCTAACGCAAATTGTGTTATTATCCGCATAATAATGTCCGCACACGTCGTGTCTGCGGTGGATATACGAGATATTCGTAAAATCTAGAAAACGACCGTTGCACATATTGTAATATTATGTACGTTATTACGATTCTCGTAATCGACGATGAGTGTGCAGCGGTATAGTTATACTATATGTAGACCATAGTACAGTATAAGTATCTGCGGCGTGTATAAAATGGTTTCGATAGCGATTGTTGCAGACCGATTTTCTTAAAAAAAAAAAATTAAAAAAAACCGATTTTCAAGTTTACCACGGATATTACGCGTTGAATTCGCCTACTGCAACGGTATCTCGTCGAAACTAAACCGACGGCAAAGACTCAATGAAAAATCGTGCAGTACTACGCGTTCGCTATTTAACATATTATATATAGACACCAATATAGTTGTACTGATGCGTTTTTGCAATATTTTCATTATAATAATCAGTATTCCGATAAAATAACGATCAAATAAAATTGTCACGATCGTGAGTCTTGAGTATTTAAAAAAAAAAAAAAAAACAAATAATAACGGATAAGCCGTTGAAAATCAACGTATCGAAATATCATTTAAAAAATTCTATAATTAATCACGTACTCGAATGTTACATACTATAATATTATAGGGATGTAAATTCGTAGAAAAGTTAATTTTGAAACATTTATATCGATTTTTTAGATTCCGAGTGGAATTATTCGCTTTACTGTGTGTGTTTCTTTTTTTTCATACCTGTAAACAAATGATCTACTGAAAAACTTGCTTTAATATGACTTTTTTATTGAGAGACCGCACTTGTCGTATTTTCGATCTAGTTGGTGCACGTAATTTTTTTTTTTGATTTTCTACGAGGCTTTCGGAATTATCCTGAAAATACGTTATCAGAAACACACGGACTATTAACCACGGCATTTCGGAACACGAATAAATTGAATATCTTACTAAATAATTTATTCGGTATTTGCAAGCACAGATCGAATAAAGTACGTTCCCGACTTCCCGGCTTTTTTGTTTTTTTTTCAAGGTGTTTTGCGAGCGTTTATTTCGACGGGTCTCGGGTTTTCGGCGCGCATTACAAAACTCGCGGCGTGTCTCGTAATAATATTATCGTTTGTATCGCGGGTCGCGAAACCGATCGCTTGCAAATTTTTTTGCGTCGCGGTCGTACGGGTATAATCGGCACCGGAGACAAAAACACGACATAAAAAAAAAAAAAAAACCGATCGTTTAGCGGCGCGACACGACATTATTATGTATTGTAATGCGTTTAAACGACGACGTAACACCTATTATTATTATCGGCACACGTGCAGCGGTGTCGATCCCGTATAGCTGATATACTGTAATTGTTTTTGAAGTGTTTTTTTTTTTTTGTTTTGTTTTTGTCGACGATCGGCAGCCTGAGGGACGGTGCCATTGTGCGCGTATCTCCCGACCGAGACGAAAGAGAGCCGCGGGCCGTTTTGGCGGCCGCACGTCTGTAGAAAACAATAACCAAAAGAAAAAAAAAAAAAAAAAAAACGGTGGCGCTGACGGACCGCCCGGTGCCGGTGCTGTTGCGTGTGAGACGGGAACCGGCGGGCGAAAGAAAAAAAAATGTATTCCGTTTTCACGTGCGTGTGTAGGTTTCAACGCAATACGAAAACCGTACGGACGACAATGATGCGCGTGTTTTCCCCGTTCACTTTTCATTTCACTTAAGAAAAAAAAAAAAAAAAAAAAACACCGATAAAACCTCGCATTATAATACAAGCAGATACGCGTATTTATTACGATAATCGACGAGGAAAAAAATTTCGTCGGTCCGCCGGCAAAAAAAAAAAAAGAAAAGAAATTGCGACAACGTCGTCGTCGTCGTCGTCGTTGTTGTTGTAGGTATCGGATAGCCAATAACGCGACAACTGCACACGACGCAGCGCGCGATGTGTTTTACCGATACGCCGACGTCGGCGGTCCCGTACCGTAATAATGTTGCATTATAAACCGCGTGTAGAGAGTGCGCGGGAAAAAAAAAAAAAAAAAAAAAACTCGTCTCGTATTGTTGTTGTAACACGCGTGTTGAAAATCGTGGTGACGGTAATAATCCGTATTATCGTTACGATTGTTACAAACGAGTGTGGCCGATAAGGGCGCGAAAACAAGACGGGTTCGGTGTTTTTTTTTCCCCCCCGTTGTCCGTAAATTGTTTTTCGACAGTTCCGGGCAAAAACGATAAACGCCGCGATAATTCGGCGCTACCGGAGTATAGGAAACAGCGACGCGGACTCGTCCGGTCGTCTGTCCGCGAGTTCGTTTGTCCACCGGAACCGTCGTAAACGTTCGACGAATTTCGCGCGTCGGAAACTTTCGATGAAACGCAGACAACCCGGATGACGGTTTTCAACGTAAACGTAATCAAACATTTCAATACGGTTTCGGTAACAACAGAGTGGAAAACCAATCGCGCGTATTATAAACTGATAAAAAACCGACGCGAACCTCGATTCGTACGACGTTATTTTCCGGCGCTTCGCGATGCTCCGTAACAGATTCTGGATTTTCGGCGAGACGATAATGCGGAGCTTTGTTGCGACAACGAAAACGCCGTTGTCGTTGCGTTACGGTTTTTCGAACGTAACATTACACTGTCACAGTTTTTCCGACTGACGGGGCATCTCCGCGGACTCGTTACGCCGCTTTTGACGTCTTCTCCGAACGATTTCGAGGACTTCTCGTCGTCGCGCAAACTCTGCGGGGGTTGGCGCTATGTTTCGCGTGTCCGTATACGCCGCAGAAGGACTTTTTATTACTTTATTAATTTACGATCAAGGAGTCCGGCAGTCGCAGTGGGCGAAAACGCGATCGTGACGAACCCAACGGTACAATAATCTCCGTCGTTAATTCGTGCGCCGACCGTCATTGGGTTTCCACGGAGGCGAAAAAAAAAACGTTTACACTTTTTGATTTCGTATCGCGCCTGTGTGAAATTTCGTACACTACATTCGAATGACATTTGTTTTTTTTTTTTTCTAATGGTTCTGACGTGTGGATTTTTTCTGTCCGTTTGGTCATGGGCGATTCAAATACACTACGATGACGAGTGATATCTTTTTTTGCGAGCGCTCCGCGAGCGTAGTAGCCATAGATGGCTGGAAATAATAACCGAACCGACGACGGCCGTGGAAAAAACGGCTGAATTTTTCTTTTGGCCGTTTTCGTGTACATGGACATTTATTCTGCGATCGTTATTTTCAATTCGGTCACTATTATCACGCGATATAACAATCGACTTGAAATCAATACATCGCAGCGTACCGGCATTCTAATCCTTCCAGCGGTTTAGCGGGGGGAGGGGGTAGCGAAATGGGGGCAAATGCCCGGGGACGGCAAATCGTCGTAATCGAACCTATAATAAATCAACGATTGCGTAGCCAAAATTAATTTTACCCGTGGGCGGCTAAACGGCAGTTTAGCTTAATACGGCACTGCTTAAAGGACGTCACTTTCGACGAGTTATTGTCGGGAACTTGGAAATTCGCGTATTGGATTTTCTCGGTTTTCGCGTCGGGATTTCTCGGCCCTAGTCCAAAGTCCTCGACGATATACATCATTGGGACGGCGGCGCTCCCGCGGCCTCCGAGGACTCGGACGGTGACCTCGACCGCAGGGCAACCGATTCGAGTGCGGTGACCACGATAACGTACGTAATGGTATTAAGCAATAATCCCATTTCTAACGATTTAAACGTACATAAATAAATACCTACACGAATAACTATAATGTACCCGGTACCTGTATTATAATAATAATATCGCCGGACGTTTCAAGGTCCGAGAAGTCACCCGACGACAAAAAATTAAAATAAAAAAAAAAAAAAAACCCGAACCGCTCTCGCACGGGATCGTTTCAGTTTGTTACGGCTCCGGCAAAGTTCGAAAGTGATTGCGTAAAATCGTTATAAACGCACACGCCGACCGTACCGCGGCCGCCTCCGTCTCCGTGCGTACTGCCCCGCGTCCATGTAGCGTGTGTTAAATAATTTGTGTTGTCGTTTTTTATTTATTTATTTATTTTTTTTTTTTCCTCGTATAAAATGCATTTATTCGATCGACGACGACGGCGTTGATTTCACAAACCCGCGCGTAGTGCGCATTAATAATTATTCGCGTACGGGCGTCGACCCGAATACCCGCGCGGTACATGCACACATATTATATACGCTACAGGTACCTAACTCGTTTTCGAGCCGGCGCGCAGATTTCTTCGAGCCGAAGAAAGTGTGCGACGCGAGTTTGGCAATATACCGCGGTCGCCGAACGTTTGCGGGGAAAAAAAAATCGGTGCAAAAAAAAAAAAAAAATTAGCGATTTCTTCGCCGCCGCCGCCGCCACAGTAGTCGCCGCCACAGTAGTCGCGGTCCGCGAGGTGATAATATTATTTTCGTTTTAACATCCATGCCGGTTCCGTGTTAAATGCGAGATGTGTGCGACCGGATAACAGTATAATACACGTAGCTGGGTATATATATATATATTAGGCACACCCGAAACGTGTTCGCGTTGAACATAAATCGTAAACTGCGCTCGACAGAATGTGCGTAACAGATAATGGCGATTGAGTGTGAAAAAAAATAAAAATAAATAAATAACGGTCCCGAAAAGTTTCCCCGAAAATCCAATCGCGGGACGTTTATTTAAGGTGACCCCCGAAATTCAACGGCGTTTAATCAATACAGTCACATTCAAAAACTCAGCGTTTCCGACTAAATTTCTATCCGATCCGACGTTCAGTTTCGCCGATTTTCCTGATGGATATTTATTGTTTTTTTTTATCAATTTTGTATATGTGTATTTGTTTTTTATTCCACGTGATTTAAATTTGTCAGGCGCATATGTGATACTGTACTCGATAATATTGGGAACGTTTCGAAATCGTACCGTATTCGTTTTCACGTCCAACAGATGTATCGTTTAGTTGAATTTCGGAAACCCGGGTTATTTTGATTTTGAAACCAGAACTGTATTACAAATAAGGCTTTACAACGCATCTGGGCCATACGAAAATTCCCGCTCTTTAAGCCTACCTCTATTGATTTCCATTAAAATAACATTATGTATAAGCATTTTGGACTTTGCGCCCTTTTCTAAAACGCGTTCTTGACCTAAGCCATTAGTCATGCCAATCTCGAGCTACGACTCTGTTTGAAACGCCCGTGTCATCGTTGTGTATGGAATATATCGCGGTTAGTATAATCACGTGAAAAATTCGCCGGCGGTCTCTTCGGTCTGTTCGCCCCGTAACATGATTCACGTTACGATTCCTCGGGACTCGTCCTCTAAAGAAAATACGTGTGTTTTGGCGCGATGCGGTTTACTGCAACGACAAAGTGGATTTGAAGTTTGGGATTACTATAAGGCCCAAAGTGTAACGGTAGTCGTATCGGTCATACGGCAACGATAGGTATAAACGAATCTGACTGTAAGTTGTTAATCTGCGTCCCGGGAAATTCGCGCGTATCGATGAAAATCTAACACCGGCGCAACGTGCAACCGCTTGTATTCGAACAAAATCGTATTGCGCTTCCTCCTCGCAATGTCAATCTGTAAATCTCTTCGCGAATATCGACTGCACCTATTGCACGAATTCGTATATTAACCGGGCGGTCGACTATATTATTATTTATAGTTTTCGGTGACGGTCGTTTTTGTTGCGACTTAATTTATTTCGCGAGCGCATATTATTGTATTATAAAACACGGTAATAATAGCGCTCGGCTAATAATACACTGAGGTATTCAGATCCGGTAGAGTCCGATGCGGGCTCCGCCCTTTTTACGCAACCGCCGCACACAACCCCGAGTGGACCACACCTGTAAAATGGCTTTTAATACCTACGTAGTTTACAATGTATTAATATGCCGCGTGGTGCAATAACACAATAACGTTAATTACTATTGCCCGTATAGATTATTGACGTTTATTGCGACTCGTGACCGCACAAGTATACGGGACAACGAAAAATGATAAACGCCGTGCGCGGCGGAGTGGACCTTGAGGTTACCCGGTATAACCGCGCAAACACGACGATGAGACTGCAACGCGTCACTTGATATTCTGCACGCGGTACGTTTTCTTTGGACAGCGAAATAAACGGACTGCGTCGTCGTATCGTACAAAATGTGACTAGAGATTATCGGGGGATATATGTGTGTATGACGGTAGGTTTATTATCATAGCGGAGTGAGAAAAAGTGCTTTAGCATTAGACAATGGCGTAGAATGACGCGGAGAACAAGACGAATATGCGATTTGGCTGTTCGCTGGGTCATTGCAGTATAGTGAAAATGTCTGCCGACGACGTTCCGCAATTCGTTGTCCGACGAAAGCTATTAAAACGTTAAAAAAATTGTATTGTTGAAAAATCTAATGCCTACACGCAAACGCCTAATCGTGTACAACGTAATTATTGAACTTGCACGATTAAAATAATGTTGTGTCGACGATATACAGCGTCTATATGTTTTTATTTCAATGTCGTTGAGAAAATAATATTCTGGTGTGCCGATTAAATTCGGTACTTTAAACGAAAAACGCATTCGCTCTCAATAGATATTATCGTGGAATGTAATCGGTCGTACCTGCAGGAACGTCGGACTTGGAAAAAAAAAAAAAAAAAAATAACCCCGAAAAACCAAAAGTACCTACCTAACCATAATAATAATTGTTATTCGTAACGTAACATTCGTCCCGTTTTAACCGCTAAACGGTAACTTTCTAAGGTCGTATCGCGATACCTACACAGACAACTCTATACAAGACTTGTTGTCAATAATCGTACCTATCTGACAGTGTTTGGAAAAAAAAAAAAAAAAAAAAAAAACGTTCCGTTGGCCAACGTCGACGCGAGATTTATTATGTCGCTACGATCAGACGGTCGCCGTACAATAACATTAGGCGCCTATGCATTGACGCGCGTCACTATAATAATATTATAGCGATGTTACGGGCCGTTCGATCGTCGAATAAATTGAAAAAAAATCTCCGATTATCGAACCGAACTGTAGAGCGTTGAGTTCGGTTCGAGATGCGGACCGGTGACGTTAGTATTTTGATGCGGAGTGAACCGAACGGAATCCGTTTCGGTTTATTTTTACGGCGGGTGTTATTTTATCGTACAGCGACGCCTCGGACAATGCGACGTTTTACGTTTTAAAACCCCGTCGTTCGCGAAATAAGTTCGGTTCGGGTCCAGACGAAATAACATTGCACGCACGATCCGTCGATGTAAACGAAAGTTCAGTCCGGCCTTAAAAATCGGGGTTCGTAACGTCGCTGTACACGTATAACATCGCCCCCCCCAATCTATTTTTATCGAAACTAGTCTCGAGACGCAATAATTGTTTTCTCCTTGAACACAAACACAATCATCACGATAATAATAGATAATCGGTCGACGGTTCTAAAAGGAGATGGATAGAGAGAGAGAGAGAACTGAGGTCAAAGCACACGGAAATATGATTATAATATTATTGTCTGTCTGTGACTTTCGTCCGATACCGTGGTGCGGTTAGGTCAGGCGATGTGGGCGTGTGCGTATGGTATAGCGTTTTATACGCCGTCCGAACAAATGTATAATAACACCGAAGTTTCACGATGCGCCGGCCGTAGGTATATAGGTACACCTCTGCAGTCCGAGTGACCGTTAACGAATATTTTTTTTATTTTTTTTTTTTTTTTAATTTTTTTTTTTCAAGCACACGCTGTCGGGTACATCACCCGGACTGGCGGCGACGCGGATCGGAGAAATCTCCATCGGCGACGATCGTATTATTATTTGCTTACACGCCGTGAAACACAATCCGACTAATAATAATAATAATAACACATAACATATTGTAGTATAACAACGAGAGAATAAAAAAAAAAAATGAAATCATAATAATATAATAATGACGATCGAATTCCGTTCTTTACCCACTGCACACACACACCTATAATACTTTCATCGCGTTATTCTTGACCGTCATCGTGTCAGCGTATAATATTATATTGGGTAGTCCTTTCCCTCGAACGCGTATATTGTAATTACATCATCAATCACCGTAATTTATTAACACCGCGGTTATGATATCTACGCGTACGTGCGTCTGCGTGTGTTTGCGCGTGTGTATGCGCGTATGTGAATAATCTATCACGGATCTGGTTTTGGATTTTTTTTTTTTTTTTTCATTCTCCCCCGTTGTATTATCGTAGCCGTGTGTTTAATATAATACTATAATAATACGCGGAGAGAGAGAGAGAGAGAGAGAGAGTGTGTGCGGTCGGAACGTCTTAATATTTTCGTAATAATAATATTATTATAATATACGTATTACGTCAAGATTGTCGGATTGCGTTCGACTGTAAATGTGAAAACAAATAAATAAATACGTTTCGTTACGTAGATATGCGGTGTTCACGATGTGCATTTTTACGGGTATACTTGTGCCGGGTCGCGTGACGTTTTCCCGAACCAATAAGGCCGCGGCTTAGGTTTCGCCGTTCTGGAAAAAAGAAAAAACGTAATCGAACGCTGCGCGGTTGTTTTATTGCGATATTGTTTTTAACGTTTTATCGCAATTCGATTTTACAACTGTCGATTAATCCACCGGGGCCGGGGCGGTTTGAGGACACGGAAAAAATCCTCTAGCGGACTTACTACGATTGTTTGGATTTCACAATTTAAAATCAACGCGCATTACATTTTTCATTCGAAACTTCGAACGCAATTGACGACTTGAAATGTTTCATTTCAACAAATCGCGTCGTTTTTATAGACAATTTCGTGACAAAACCTGCACAAAAAGGCAAAAGAGGGTACCACCAATTAGTAGAGAGTAAGGAAACCGTATAGGAGTGTTCTGAAAAATTTAAAAATACAACAAATGTGGATATCCGCGATGTATTTTCGGGGAGCCATTTTTTTTTTTTTTTGTTTTAAAAAAAATATGATACCGTTTTATTTTCGAGCTTGACATATTTCTTTTAAGTCGCTTTTTATAAGCGCACTTCAGTATACACTACAGAAACGTGAAAAACGGATAATAACAGGGCCGTTCGATTTTATGTATCAATGATATCACATACATGGTCGCGTTTTCGGGCGCGCCTAAACCGTCGGCCGGTTTCGTTGGTGGCGGTCGAAACCCAGTACGACGTATCGCCGCGCTCCGGCCGAAAACAATAGGATCGTCGCGATATTAAAAAAAAAAAAAAAAAAAATGATACGAATACGTAATAAAACGCACACGGCACACGTCACGCGAATAAAACCGCACGCGCCGGTCGATTTATCGCGCGAACAATTGTACTTCGGCCACGTTATTGTACTCGGCTGCGGGTACGCCGGCGATAAATCGGCCCGCGGCGTAAGGTCAAGTTCGACAAACGCCGCGGCAAACGGGTCGCCCGGAGCGCGGCGTGTGCGGCTCGGTACACACACACGGTAAACTTTCTACCGGGTAGGTGCCCCGAAAGCAAGAGTGACATGCACGAGGAGAAAGTACACGGACGGATTTTTTTTTTTATCATCGGGCTGTCATCCGTACGGGCAACCGCGAAATACGATCCGGAACGCGACCGAAAAACAAAAAAAAAAAAAATGAAATTTAATAATTACATTTCCAACGGCCCGCGTGAGAGAGTGCGAACAAATTTCGGTCGAAATTCCGCGACGGCCGACCATGATTAAAAGTCGCAGAGCGTGCGGATTCGCGAATGCCGCGGGCTTTTTTCGGATTCCGAACGAGGCGGGAAATCCGTCGGTTTTATTACGACGAGGGGGAGTTTGTTTTGTGTGCGTCTGTAAACACCCGTCTCTACTAGAAATCTCGCTACGATCAAAAACGCAGGGACTTTCTTGCAGAATTTTTGATCTAATCGGTGCATTGGGAAGGTCGTTTTTTTTTTTTTTTTTTTTTTTATTACTATTCTTGTCGTTTTCTCGTCAAACGGGAAAAACTAGTATTTTCGTTTATAGAATTTTCGTCGATTTCCGGTTTCCCCGACGACGGCGGAAAAAATACGACTAAACAGCCCAGAATCGTTTTCCGTAAGCGACGACGGTTTATCGTATAACCGAATAACTGCGCGCATTTTAACGTATCAATTTTCCGCCTACGGCAGCGGCGCGCCCGTTCCGAATTCTAATCGCATGCCAGTGGCGCCGCGGTAGTAAAGTCTACGGTTTTCGGGTCGCGATTCGCTGGCGTCCTCCCGGTCATTCCAATCTCCGGGTCGATTTCGGGACGGTCGTCCGATAGCTGCTGCAGCGCGTCGCGCGGTTTTAATATATGCACGGGACCTACGCAATATCGTGCGCGACACCGGTCTCCGGAGATATTCGTTTTCGTCGGCCGCCGAGTACCCGAAACGCGCGGCCTGTTCGGACGTGATGTGCCCGACGCGTACCGCGGCGCGCGGTCGTGTCGCGCCCCGGACCGCAAACATCCGGGACGCCCGGTCCGCCGCTTTCTAAACGACGGAAATCAAAGAGGCGGGGACCCGATATTATCGCGCGCGTGCCCGGCGACGGCAAAGGGTACGCGCCCGGACGATATAATTGTTCTCGCGCCGTCGATGAGTCACGGTATTTAATCGCACCGTTGTCCGGCCGGATGCTCACCTCGAGACCGCCACTCGACTACCGGATCGCTCTGCGGGACGGCAACGCATAACATAATAACGTCGTATTATAGGCTAGCATTCCAGAAAACGTAATAATATTCGTCTCTGTGCCCGTTTAGAAATGTTTCCGCGCGCGCAATACGAGTCGAACGAGTCGGAGATATTTTAATTTATTCGTGTAACGTGCGTACGTCTCCGATACGTGCTCGATTCGAAGCGTACGCCTCTATCGGTGTTTATTATCCGCCTATACACGTGTGCATAATATTTTTATAGCCGTTTACGGATCGTATCGCCTGACCGCCGTACGATGATAATGATAATGTATTATTGTGAATTATTCAAAATCTGTTATCCCCGGAAACTTAACGACAACGTACTGAATTACGTATGAATCGCGCGTTGGAAATTTTCTCGGCGAAATCCCCTGTACGCGCATTGAAAGATCGCGGATATTACATCCGCGGAATTAATCGCATCCGTACGGTTTTACGATTTTTTTTTTTTTTTTCCGAATAAAATATTAAAACGCCGCAAACGTTCGCCGCTTCGTAAATAATAAAACGTTATCTTTTAAGCGTCTTAGGAGGGACCCGGGGGGATTTACGCGTTTTCTGTCCGGGGAAATTTTTAATAACAATGCTACCCGACGAACGCGTGCGCGGCTACAGAATATTTCGCGGCGTTCGGGTCGCGAAAGACTACGGGTAAACTCGAATTCCGAACGAGACTTATCGTCCGACGGGCGTCCGCGCCGTAACGTCAACGAATCGGGGCGGCGGCGGCAATGTGCCGCGGTCAATGAAAACCCACGGGAATAACAATAACGACGACGATGACGTTATTTGTTCGATGCCGAAACCGAGCCAATACGCGCGACCGCGTGTCACGGGAGCACGTTCACGGTGCCGGTGTACGCGCGACGGTAAACATTCCGGCCCGGACGGCTCGGACCGCCGTGCGAGCGGAGATTCCCGGTACCGTCGGCGGGAAAAACGCGCGCGCCCGCCACCGTGTTCCGGGCGTCGGGCCGCGCCGCGTCACCGGGCCGCGTTGTTTCTCGTCGGACAGCGTTGCGTTGCGTGGCGCGCGCGCGCGGTCGGCCGCCGACAACCGGGCCGGTCGGGTGCCCGGCGGTAAACGGTAATTTATCGTTTTGTATCGCGACCGACACTGTTGAAACCCGATTCGGACGAAATACCGCCGGTCGCGTTACACGCTCCGGAAAAATTATATTTTATTTTTATTATCGTTATTGCCGTTGTACAACGTCGGCCATTATCGGGTTCGGCGGACCGCTGAAAACCGATATGTCATATTATTATTATTATTATTATATCGTTACTGTCCAATACTATTATCGTGTTTATAACGCCCGCGACCGGCGTACGGGGTGATTTTTTAACGGGAGACGCCGACCGTTCCGGAATATTTCGTACGCATTGTGTTGTTTTTTTTTTTTTTTTTTTTTTTCATTACTATTCTTACGAAATCTCCGTCGCCTTAAACGCCGCAAACAACGTCCGAACCACGGGTATATCCGCGCGGTGTTTTTATCGAATCTACGGGACGGGGTCACACACATTCCCCGGGCACGCCCGATAAGGCAAAAACAATCCGTTGACACGTACCGATGTTCCTTGGCCTCCGCGAGCTCGTGTCGGAATTCGATCGAAAACGGTCCCACAGATTATTCGTTACGCGCAAAAACCACTTCGGACGGGCCGAAAATGATTGTTCTGGAAATCGGTTTTTCTCGGGCGATCGCCGGATTCACGCGTTCAAACGGTAATGACGTTGTTGTGCTCGACGCCGTAGAAAATCGATGTCGCGGCCACCCGTCGAGAGAGCACATCGCGAGCAAACCCGTGCTCCCGTGTTATACGATATATTTTTTAAAAGAGATACCTCGTACATTTCGAACGGTCTAGAATCTAAACGACGTTCACGGGGACGCTGGATGAGTATTTCAGAGCGGTCAACTCATTTCGGGAAATACGCCTTACTACCGGGGACGGTGATATTTTTAGGGCGGCGGGGATGAGGCGAATGGCGTGTTAACCCGAGTTTCCATCTTGTTTTATATATATATTTTTTTTTTTTTTAAATTTAATTATTACGACGTTCCGTAGTTTTAAATTGACCCCCCTCCCCGTCCCTCATCTCGCGAATTTAGTAATGAGAATAACTGTTCAAATACTGCAGTCCGCTTTTAACGCTGCGTATAATTCATAGAAAACACCAATAATATAACATGGATATTTTGTCTAGATTACAGAATAACGGAATTCGTGAACCTTTAGCCTTTAGATTCCGATCGCAGCGAGGAATATGTTAGTTTCAGCATGAAACGGATTTTGTGTGCGTTTTCTACCGGAAATCTCGTTCCAATTAAACATTCTACTGCGGAGACTTTTTTGTGGAATTTTTTAATCAAAGTGCATTAGGGGGTTATTATTTAATTCCCTCGTAGTTTGTATTAATAAACGGCAAAGCCTGGCAAATGTTTGTTGATTTCTGGGTTACGTGGGCAACAAGAGAAAAAAAAATACGACCATTCGGATATTCTGTACAGAATTAAATGTGAATTGTGTGTCCTCTCTACCGACTCCCGCGTACAACAACGGCACACCGACCTACAGCACCAGCTTTTTTTTTCCCCGCTATAAAACGCTTGTCTGTCGGCCACACGCCAACAGGTTATAAAATACGAAAATCGTGGAAAATCGTTCGCAACTATGTACGTGTTATTATTATAGGTATGTATAACGGACTCGCGTATTATACACGCCACTCTAGCGCGTTTTGCCGCAGTTCTCGTGTTATTCGAATCGGATATTACGCGTAAACCGCAATTTTCTTTATGCAATTATAGACATTATTATGTTATTTGCGTTCCCCCTACCCCCAGTCGTCGTCGTGTTCAAGACTACGTGTATAATTATGGCGAGACGTATTACGGAAATTCGTCAAAGTCGTTATACGCGCGCGCGTTACTCGCGTATGTATCCTGTATGGAAACGTACGTTCGCGGTCACGACGACCCGCTTTACCCGTTCGGCACAACTCGGGAACTTTAACCCGACAACCGTGAAATATTACACCGATGATTAAAGTTCGGGGGGCGTCGTGATGTGTAAAAGGAAAAAGGAAAAAAAATAAAACACTGAATATCATCCGATACACTTTAACCGCATTCTGAAATAACGGGCGCACCTCGTCCTAATGGCGTGCACGCGAGCTGACTGTAAACCGGAAACCGGTACGCGACGACGACGAAAGTGAAATCTGCCGTCGCCGCGCGCGTGTGCGATCACCCAAAGGGTTAAAAAATCCGTCGGATCCGGGTGTGCGTATATTATTATCATATACCTATGTATACCGTGTAATACTATAACATATTGTAGTTTATAGCCGGGTAAAAAAAAAAAAAAATAAATAAAACCGGAAGACGCGCCCGTCGAAAAGTGAAATCCTGCGCGCGCGCGACCGCGGACGAAATATAATAATGAATGCGGTATTCTGTTAAACTAGTTTTAGCGCGAAAATAAAAAATATTAAAGAAAAAAAAGCCGTTTGATTCTGTCGACGACTTTTCTGCGCGCGCGCACTTTACGTCCGCGCTCTGCGGGCAACCGCGAAAACATAATTCGGACGTATTTTTTTAGGCTCGCCGTCAATTAAAAAAAAAACGCTCGTACGCGGAAGAAACGTTTTATTGTTGTTGTTTTTTTTTTTTTTAAATACTATCGTACGTTATGTGCAGATATGCGGGTCAAGGTGTCGTCCGGTAACGGTTTTTTTTATTCGCCCGGTTTGTTTGTTTGTTTAACGTTCATTTCCTTGGCGATCGTGTGTACTGTGCGCACGCACACACACACACACACACACACACATACACACACGAGTAATCGTCGTACATACAAATTATCTTCTTTTTTCGTATGCGTACATTAGTCATTTTTTACGGGGCAACGGAACAACTACAACATTTTATGGTAGTAGCGAATAAAACCGTCGGCCGCGTTGAACGCATTCGAAACGAACCGTACTTGCACATGCGTGGACGTAAAACCGACGGATATTCGTGCCGAAAAACCGATTACTATTTCCCCCGCCCCCTCCCGTTAGGTCGTGGCCAATAACAAACCTCGTATATTGACGGATCGCGTAAATTTCGCGTAAAAACTACCGACATAGTGAGGCGGTAAACCGCTTGTTTTTTTTTTTTTTTCTGTTCATTTTTACGACAGCGAACGCTATTGACAATGCGCAATAACGTCCCATTGCTATTTTCGTATATTCGTCAACGAGCGGGTGAATTTTATCGATATTATTTTTTTTTTTTTTTTTTTTTTGCCTATACCGTCACCGTGAACGCCGTAAATGTGCGCGGTAAATACACGCGACAACATCAGGCGCATTCGTAACGTTTCCGTTAACGGGTGCGCCGAACAAACGTATAGCGGACGCTAAAGCCGAACATTTTCCCCTCGCGTTTCCCGTCGTTTTTCGCGGGTATTCGCGCCGAGCCGTTCGCAGGGCGTTCGAATCCGGTCCGCGACACGGCCGGTAACCGTTGGACGCGGGGCAACGTTCGCCCGGGTTCGCGCAGCCGGCCGTCACGACACCGCGGGAACGCGGCTTTACGATTACCGCGATTGGGTCAAAGCGGATTCGACGGGGTGCGTCCGCGACGATCATGTCTGGTGTCCGCGCGCGCGCGGCGGAAAAAACCGTACCGAACGCTGTCGGCTCGTCAAACGCGAACCGCCGCCGTGGGCACCTGCAGGTAGGCACCGTAAGTGGCGCAATCGATATGATAAATTACGTTCCGTTAGGTCTCGTTATTGTTACTGCTGTTACGCCGCGCCGCAGCTCTGGTCGGACGCTCTCCGGTCGTCCCGGTTTATAATATCACATAAACACTGTAAAAATATGATCACCGTTCGGACGTATATTTTGTTTGTTTTTTTTTTTTTTTTGGATCTCGCTCTCTGTCTGTCTCTTACTTTTGACCCGCAGACACTCGTGTTGCAGAAATAACAATATGGAAAAGCGGTGCCTTGTTGTTGTTGTTGTTGTTGTTATTACATCGCGGTTCTTCTTTCGACCTTCACTTCGTTATATCGGTTACGCCGCCGCGGTATATCGAATTATACACGCGAAAATATGTATGCAACGCAACAATCTATAACAAAATAAAATATTTATGCATAATATTATTATTATCGAGTCCGGAACGCGAGCGGTCGAAAATATTGACAATCACGTTGAGTGAAAAAAAAAAAAAAAAACCCCCGTGTCCGTTGCACGGTTTTTAAAATATTTTCGCGGAGAAACGAGTGCCCACACGCACGCGGATACCAGCTGTACCGCGCTATATTTCTCCCGATGGTTCGGGTGCTTTTGTAATAATTTGCGACAAACGTGCAACGGCTTTTGGCCGAGCGCGAAACGTGTCCTCTGTACCCAAAGATCAGCACTGTCGGTCGGAAAAAAACCATCTATAGAGTATCGACCGACTGCGCGGATGAATCGGCGTGAATAATTTTTGTGCTTTTAAACAGAGTGAATCGACCTACTATCGAATTTAACGGTAACAGAACACGTTATCGGTATGTTTTCTAACCGAGTTATACGCGTTTTCAAGCGATATTTTGCAGTATTTTTGCACACTAATCGTATCCCGGTAAAAAAATTTAAACACGGGTTATGTATTGTTATTCGCCTACTCGGGCGACTATAATATGCGATTGTGAAAATTGCGGAAACGTTCGAACCGATCAAAATATTTCGAATCGCCTATCCGACGTGCACGTTAACATCTATCGTAAGATACCCGATAATGCCCGCGCGCGTACGGGAAATCGGTCCGAATCCCGTCACGTCGGCCGGGGTCGAAGACGACATCCTATAAAAAAAGAAAAACTCGTAATAATAGTTCGCGACAATGGTTCGCGACGATAACAATGGCTAATAACAATAACGCCGTCCGCGTATATATTATCATTTTTTTTTTTTTTTTGTTGTTATTATATTTTTGTCGTTAATGCCGCGTGTACGGCTGTTGTCGGCGATAAGGACGCGGAAACGAAACCGAGCGACCTATAGCGCGACCCGCGAACGATTCTAGTGGAAGGGGGGGGGACGGCGTTTTCGGTCTGTTTCGCCGTCCCGGTGCGACGATTATCAAAATTATTCAATAACGTCACGTCGTCGCCGCGATAATAACAATATTATTGTTGTGACATTTTAAAACGGACGCCCGAAGAAAAAAAAAAAAAACACCGGCGTATTTTTAGAAATGTTTGGGTTCTGAGCGAAGCCGTGTAACGCGCCGGTCTTACAATAACGATGTTTATTATAATTTTTTTTTTTTCTACCGCGAACCAAATATCTCCTCGGAAACCTCGCTCCGAATTTTCCACCCGGATACGATTAGTGTGCGGGATATCGCAAAATTTCGCTTAAAAACGCGTATAACTCTGTTAGAAAACACAAAAAGAGACCTTTGTCCGTTGCTTTTCGGCACTTGGGTCGGTACACTTTAGAAAGATCGTTTTTTTTTTATTATTTTTTTTTCGAAATATTCTCGGAAAAACCGGAAAACCCGGTTCTTTAGGTTGAAAAAAAAAAATCGCGAATCGTCCGGACCGGAGGACACTTTCCGACGGTTCGCGCGATGACGATTTTCGTTCTTTATCTTGTTAAACGCGCTCAGAAACGTTTTCGGACGAAAAATATCGTTCCGATCGAACGCGACGTCTGTACATCGTCGTCACCACGGTACAACAACACAATATACAACGGTACGTAACGTGATACGCGTGCGGCGCGGTCACGCCGCACACCGCCCGAGAACGTACCAGTGATTACCGTGGTGATAATGATATCGTACCGTTACGGAGACGACGCCGAAATTATCGCGTATAACGGCGACGGCGTCGCGGATTGTTCGGGTTTTCGTTATTCTCGGCTCGTTCCGTAAATGTTATCTCGCGCGTTTTCCGACCGGCGTCGCGTACAATTACACGGGGACCGGTTTTCCGGCGGTGCCGACGGCGCGAGCGAACTGACGACGACGACGGCGACCGCGACGACGACAACGCCGTCCCGCCGGGTCCTCGCGAGATCCGCGGACCGGGTAGGTATCGGTGCCGGCCATCCGTCAAAACGGACCGCGGCGAAGAACCTACCGCGCGACGATAGGTCAACGGCGCGTCAAACGCGAGTTTGTTCCGTTCTCTTTCGGCCGGCCGAGTATCGACGACCCCGCGGATACGCTCGTGACGTACCGCGCGGGCGAACTCTACCCGGATAAACGCGACATTTTCGTCTCCGATTTTCGGTTACCGAGTTCGCGGCGGATTCGGAATTCGGTTCCGACGGGATCCGGATTCCTGTGCGCGCGCGTGGAACTCGCGACCGTGAAAGGACTCTGCTGCGGTATACGGATAAAAAGTATTTATACGGGGAGTGATGGGGACCGACGTCAACGCGAGGAAATCGCGCCGTAAAGGACGGTGGCACCGATAGCCCAGAGCGGAGAAAATCTGTAGTCCTGACCTCAGATAATCGATTGTCGGGCGGCAGGGTTTGCGTTCGGCGGCATGTGGGGTTTTGAGGGCCTAAGCGAAACCGAAGCATATTTTAAGAGAACGTAATATCACGGGGGCGTTCACGGTGTACGCGTGAAAAACACGAATTCGTGATGAAACATATTTTCACCGAAAAGAACGTGGAAATTATCCTTTTACTTCCCGAAACCCATTCTTACGTATCGGACGTCATATGATTTTCGAACAATATCCGAGCCTCGAGCCGCGTACAAGGCGCGGTCCGCTACGCGTTTAACAATAAGTCCATGGGCATTGGGCGGGGTACCGCGTCCTCTTAAGGTACCTGCCTGTTCTTTATGATGTTCCGCGCAATCTGCCGCTCGAACGGAAAACGGATCGGACGGCGAAGCCCGTTTTAATTTACGTCGATAAATCATCATTTACTTATACGAGTGGTGGTCGGCGCGCGTACGATTATTCTCATACGCTTTTAATATATCGTTGCGGCCGCTCGCGAGAGAAAAATAAAAAAAAACTATTTTTCGTGATAGCGATCCGTGTGTACAACGCCCAACGCCCGGATGACGAGTCGTGCAGCGTGTGTATTTTATATGCGTACATATATATTTGTTTTTTTTTTTCATAAAAAAGTCGCACACACATAATAACGTAATAAAAACGTAAAATACGATCGGCGATACCGTATAGTAATAATGGTTTTCAGTACCCACTATATCATTATTTCTTATTATTATTATTATATCGTCGGGTAAAAGGAACGGTCGATTTTCCGTGCGACTTTCCGCGCGGCCATTCATTTTTCGCTCCCGAAATACGATTTCCCGCCCCTGCCCCTCTCCCGGATTGTTCGAAACGAATTTTTTTTCCTTTTTAACGGCGCTCGGTCGAAAAACTACACAGATATAGATATCAGTACATTATCGCACCGTACAGACTCGCAGTACCTGTCCAATTATCGGTGCCTATGCGTTTTTATACTATTACTGTTGCACCGCGCGTAATGGCAAGTGTACGACATTACTGTTAACGGCGGACGCGGGCAATAACGCACGCTTCTGAATCATATACAGGGTGATTGTTTTATCGCGAACCGGCGATACAATACATTTCATCTAGACGACGGTTTCGAATGAAAATGCGTTTGAAAAATTACGTAGTTTTCCGCTTCAGTCGCATAGAAAATTCCCCTCGAAAATGTCGTATCGCAAATCACAAGCGCCTGTTGTACAGACGGCGTATGACATTAAATTTCGATTTTCAAACGGGGCGGGCCTATAAATCACATTGAAATATGGATATTTTTCAAAAAAAAAAACAACCCCGATATAGTACGTTACACTCTCGCATCACGTATTAATATCATTTATAACGCCGTTTTGTAATGCGAAAAAGTCAAACCGGAAATCGACGATACATTCTATCCGCGGGCGCGCGTGCGTAATAAAAGCGAAGTCTCGAAAACAGTATTTAAAAAACAAAAAAAAAAAAAAAAAACGTCAAATATATTATTTACTCGTGTGCGGAGATACGCAGACGGATAGCGCGTCGGTCGGTTCGCGCGATAAATATGTAACATCACCCGGTGTAATCACGACGATAATCGGATCGGGTAATTTTTTTTTTCCTTTTATTTTCGCCCGCCGCGCGTATGCGGAGCGCCGTGCGCGACTTTTTTCGCGGGCATCGATCAACGTCCGAACGCGCGTGATAAATTATCGACTGACGTCGGCGGCGGCCGCGGCCGCCGCCGGCGGGCATTGATTTCTCTCTCCGGCAACCGGTTATCGGAATCCGGGGACCTACTTCGGGACATCCGGCATTTCCGTTCACCGAAAAACACACAACACCACTTGCGCGTAACGTTGCGCGGCTGTAATAACGGCGCCCGCGCGCGGTCATTCGCCGTTTTCCTTGTTTTGACGTTTTTTTTCTTTTTTCTCCTTCTCCAAAGGCTCTCGCCGTGACGAGCACACGCCGATCGGCGAATGTTTTTACCGCGGGTCGGGGTTTCGGGTCGACGCGGAACGCGGAACGGTTTCGTCCCGCGCGGTTTCACGGCATTTTCCGCCCGGCGGCGGCGAGCTTTTGCGCCGCGCAATAAACGCGCGTCGTTACGGTAATCACCGACCGGATATAATCGGTATATAATGGGTTAAGATGACGGTTTCCCGCTTGTTTTCACCCGTACCCGATCTGAATGTCCGCGGGCCGTCCGGGCGTACGTCACGGGATTCCGCGCGTCAGCCCGGCGGACGTGCCCGGACCGGAGGAGAGAATAGGTATGGATAAAAAAAAAAAATCTACACGAAAAACAATGACGGCGTGCCCGGGTAAACGCGCGCGGGCCGCCGGTCGGAAAACAATCTTACCCGCAACTACACGCGCGCGTACACGTTCGGTGTAAAACGCGATAGTCGAACGGGAATTTTCCGTCCCGCGTGTTATTCCGACGAATATTCGTAACGCAAAACCGGCCTTGTTACCCGTCCACGGCTGTTTGGCGGCGCGTGACGCGCCGGGACCGGTCGCCGGGTTCGTGGCTACGCACTGCGGGCGCGCGTACGCGACCGCCGCGCGCGCTTCGGACGGTGGCATTGTGCACGCTCGGCGGATGTTCGAACGATCGTCGTTCGGACGTTAAACGCGTTCCGCGCGTACATCGCACGGCCGGCACAGCTCTTCCGTGGCCAACCGGACCAGCGGCGCAATTGTTCTTGCTGTCGTCGCGGAACCGCTAAAACGCGTGTAGCGCCCGCGAATCCGGACGGGACGTTCGCTCCGGGATCCGGACGAGGGATTCAAGGGAGGCGGGCCGGCGCGCAAATAGCCCGCGGAGCGAGAGTGAGAGCGAATTCGCGCACCGAGTACGGCCAACCGAAAAGGCCGCGCGCCTGTTATCGCAAGCGGATCTCCGCGGCCCGTGAAATAAAACTCCGCCCGCCGGAACGCGTTTTCACGTCGAATGTTCCGTCTAGACGATGTTTGTCAGATCAGTCTGCGGTTGCGCATACCGTTGGTTACCTACAACCTGTTAGGCGCGGGACGCGTGTCGCACTGTTTTTTTCGATTTCCAATCGGTCCCGCCGTTAATTCGAAACTGTTCGTATAGCGCGCGTTGGTTTTGATTTGTGCGTCGTATTTCATATAATACAGTCAGCCTTATCGTTCATTATACTTGTTATACACGACGTTTAATTAATCGTATTCGCGAGTGTCTCGCGTTCGGGTTTTATTTTCACGGCCGCCCTTGTGCATATAGGGGTACTCGGCGCGCTGGTATCGACCGTGATCGACATTGAATCCTATACCGCGTCCGAAAACGGCGCATTTTCTCGCCTTTCTCGAATAACAATTCCCCCCCCCCAATCACGTTGCTCCCGTCGCCCGTCCGCGGCTACGGTACAAGATGTACGCGGCGTGATCCGGAGTGCGTATGAAACCGGCGTGGATCGGATTTCAACGGTTTTTCCACGGTTAATCCGGAGCGCGCACACGCGACGGTCGGCGAACGCGTAACGCTACGAGATTATTTGAAAAAAAAAAAAAAATTAAAAAAGTGACACGCGACCAAATGGACGCGTTTGACGGCCGGCCAGCGGGATACCGTGCGGTTACCGCATTATACGCATTATACGGCGTGGGCATAATGCACGAAGCCGGCGTAGAACGGATAATTCCGCGGCGGAGACTCCGGCCGACCGCGGTGGCGGCGTGCCGCGTATCCCATCGTTTCGACGTTTTACGACTGTGCAATACGACACGTAGGTAACCGGCGCGGTTTTCGCGCGCGTCTTCGGAAACCCGCGCGATGGTCGGGTGAAAAACGCGACGTTTCTTTTTCCGTCGACCGCCCCTCCCCCCGCCGACCGGCGACCGAGAGGGAGAAGGAGGGGAAACCGCCGTGGAAAAAAAAAAAACAACAACACCGACGGCCCGGAAAAAACGGCTTTTCTCGAGAGCGAACGCGAACGCGCGCGATTTTCCGGCGACGTCGCACTCTTTATGTTTTTTTTTCCCCCTTTTCTGAACGGGACGCGGCCTGCGATTACGTTTCACTACGCTGCGGACGCCTGTGCGGGCGACGGCCGTCCGTGGGCGAAACACCGAAAAAAAAACCAACAACGAACTATCTCGCGGCTGTACTATTGTGCGTTTATGTCGCTCGACTCGAGGATTTCACGTTCGCTCGTCGGTTTTCATTTTTTGTTCGTTTTCCCCGTCCCCCCACGGAGCCGTGAATTTCCGTCGTCCGAATGCGTATCATAACATTTTTCGTTTCCGTATATTGTAACAGTCTGTAACACGCGTCCGCTGTCTGCGTTCGACATCCGGTATTAATTTGCATGATATTATAACAGTTCAATATTTTCCGGGTTATATTCTTCCGCGAGTAAATATACATATATTTTATTATTTATTCGGTTTTTTCGTATAATAATGTCGAAACTCCAAAGACGATATTACGATTCGCTGTGACATCGAAATGTTATTATTACGTTATCTATCGAGTCGCACCGCGGCGGTTCTGATTGAAAATAAATCGATTTGGCCCGGGGTTTTTTTTTTTTTTTTTTTTTTCCCGGGGTGAAGTTTTCAATTTATTTTAGATTCTTGATGGATCGCAGAAACTATTACATTTACTATGACGCGAGCGCTTTTCGTTCGTTTCGAATTTTTCGACCGTTATGGTACTTTATTTGAACGGTTTATCGAAATTATTTTGATTTTTCTTTTTCGTGTTAAACAATTTTTCCCGGTTAGACATACGCAGAAGTTTGGTCTTCGCGCAGTACCTAAGAAAACGAGGAATTTCTGCTCGGTAGTACTGTGTTTGAAAATATATTTAACGACATTTTTAACAGATCACCCGGTGGGTCTCTTTTCTCGAAAAACACCTTTTCGGTTAGAGTGCCGCCTTCAAAGAATCCGCCGTGTTTTGTTCGGTACCCGCGGACAACTAAAAAACGATTTGTTGTCAAAACGCTTGACCGACTCCCGCGGAGACGCCGCGACGCTTACAGGCGCGTTAACCGCACTGCCTACAACCCAATCTAACCTGACCTGACCTAATCGTCCGGTTCGATAGCCGATAATAATCCGTACGACTAAATGACACTAATAATACGATATTTAATTCGTTCGCGATACGATACATTCGTTCCGAGCGTTAGTTTACAGAAAAACATTCGGGAAAAGTTTCTCCGCGTTCGGACCAGCCACGTAGCCAGAAATATTTATCTGGTTAGGTCAGATAAAATAGTATAAATGTTCGGACGTTAAAGACTATAGAGACTGTTAATATAAATTATCGATATTGAATGGGCCCGGGCCTGCTAGACATGTCGGATGACTACGCCACTGATCAGGACAAATAATATCATTTGTACCGGTCCGGACCATACTCGAGACATACCGCGACGGGACATTCAGGCGTGTAGTCGACGGTCTCACGCTGCCACTGCTAATGAATCACGAATACTGGAAGGTCTGGTAATGACATACACACGAGGATTCATTATATCGACATGTTCAGGAATGTATATAGTAAAAAGCAAAAAAAAAAAAAAGGTAATAAAATCGGTAGCGGTAAAAAAATAATCGGGATGATTTCACCGCTGCCCTGTATGATATGCGTATCAATAAAAAATAACCGAACATGTTATAAACGAGTTTTATTATTATTGTTATTTTTATTTTTTTTCGTACATTTTATTGCACATTAATAGTATTGCCCGTCGTTTCGACGGAGAGACGATGAATTCGATACAATATCGTACGCGGTCCGCGGGCGAAAAATTTCGTGATTTACGATTTTTTTTTTTCTTCGTTTATGATATTCGTTAACAGCGTTGCGTTAACGCTGACAGTAATATGCGGTAAAAAGCCGCATCGGAAATCATACGGACGAATATTAAAAACAATAAATTATACGATACGTATTGTATGCGTTTCAGCGGACGCGCGCGAGGCGTACCTACGTATAGCAGGTATACATAATACAGGCGGCAATCATTTTTTAATTTTTTTACTCGGACGTTATTCCCGGCTGTATAGCCACGACAATAATACTCGACGGACCGCACGCAGTTTTTTGGTACGCGAAACTCCGCGGATATCCACCGAATCGAAACCGGATTCCGCGGTATCGTAAATAAAGGTGCGCGTATATCATATTCGTGTATGAAAAAAAAATTAAACAAACACAATATACGTTAGCCGAGTGTATACGGCGATTTTTTTTTTTTTTTTTTACGATCAGTACGCTTTTTTAATGGGACGGCGTTAAATCGCGCGTTTTGCCGGAGGCGGAGGGCCGGTGAAAGGACGCCGCGGCGTCCGATGCGTGCGGTGTGCCGTTCGGCCATCCGAAAACGGACGTAATTTTTTTTTTTTTTTTAGAAAGACGTAAGCGCGAAAAAGTGAAATATTAATATAATTAACGATACTATCGTTTTCTTTTTTTTCGCGGGTTCGTTATACTATCGCGAGGGAGGTGGCGGAAAATAGAAATTCTCGTTTTTATTAACCTCACGATCCCGAACACGTAAGGCCGCGGGCGCGGTTCAGCCGACTCACGACAGTGCCGAGCCGCCTCTCGGGTTTTTAACCGTCACGTGTACCGAGTGGCCGTGGCCGAGTCATCGCATTGTTTTCTCCGCGCAGCTTCTTCTCTCGCTATTGACTTCGTCCGTTGTCCGGCGTGTAAACAGCCCACTGGAAAACGAAACCCCCGGCGGTCGCAATAGCAATTTATTAACCGTTTGAAGTCATTTTTTTCTTTTTCCCGACGGATCGCACTTGCGTCAACCGGTTCCCGGACGGTTGCGCGACGTGATATCAGCACCCACCATAAACCATGAAGTGATGAATAAGCCGTGTGGCCAGTCCAACATCGTTACGACGTTATCGATCGCGGGGGGTTTTTTTTTTTTCGTATTCTACCGCGGTGGCGAGCCGGAGGCGAGACTCGCGGATTTCGAAATATACACGCCACCCCCCCTATCACCCATCCACCCGTAAAAAGGCCGCATTTTTTCTCGATTTTTCCCATTTATTAGGAAAACCCATTGGAAAATCAAAAAACGACTTCAAAGTACCGCGCAAACAAAATGTCCTTTCATAAAAAGTGCTACACTTTAAAATCGAAGCGAAATCGTTGTTAAACGTACAAATTTCCCGCTTCGCTCAGAATCTGAAATATGCATCAGATTGATGGCCGCCACCAGAAACACCACGATGAGAACCCACGACGGTTTTTGAGACAACGGTAAAACTACCCGTCCGGGCACAGTAACCGAACCGTATATTTTCGCAGGGTCCCGAGTAGCACGTGTGGGTTTTCGTAAGATATCCGGATTCTCGTTTACGTAAAACGAAAAATCGAGTGGGAGTTTCTTCGCGGCGTTTCGACGACCCCGCGTGAATATTTTATGTTCGGACAGGTACTTCCGATTCGGGTTTGTTGTGTTTTTTTTTTTTTTCACAAAAACCGAATAACAATAATAATACGTGTGACCGTCTCGTGCAGCGCGGTGCAGTTCACACGAATAATAATCGCCACTGTTTACCGCCGTAATGTTGTTGTTGTTATTACTGTTATCATAATGTTTAAGCGCCGTTGTCGTAATATTGCGATCGTTATCGTCGTGACGATCCGGTCATCACCGTCGTCGATCGCCATAGCATCTGTGCGGCATTTCCACGCGCATTACGAACCGGACGAATAATATTTTCGTTGTTGTCGTCGCCCGACTGGAAAACGATTTTCGCACGCATAAACGGCCGACAATTTTCGCCGGGTGCGATAATGTGCACGGCCGGCTCCATTACGGTCACGTCGCATTAATTCCACACGTAAATCACATCGCAAACGGTTAACGTGTCGCGCAATTTTCGGTACACCGCGTTTCCTACTCGTAAGTTGTACAAACGAGCGTTCTTTTCATTTTTAATTTGCCCACCCCCCCCCCCCCGGCAATTTTTAGTCGTTTTAAATTCGCTTTAGAATCTCCATACGCATATTATTACTAGCGCGTAAGTCCGTACCAAAACGCCGCCTGAATAATAATAATAAAAAAAAAATTGCGTTTAAAACGTCCGTTATCAAATTTACTTTTTTCGTCTGTTTCGCTGCGTAACACGACGTATGAGAGTTACCGCACCTAGGGAATCGAACAGCTTCGGGTAATTTAACGCGAGATACTGCAGTTTTTTCCCCGAGAACGAAAAAAAATGCGCGCTTATTAAATTTACCGAAATGGTCTTTGAATAACAACGAAGCGCGCGTATACGCGTGTGTTGTGCAGTCGCGTGCGTATTATTCGATTTTGTTGGTTTTTTTTTTTTTTTTATAGCAAAAACTAAAACATCATTCGACATACCGTGTTACAACGGGACTCGTATTCAGAACGCTCGGATATTCGATAACATTACACGCGTACGTATTATTGTTGTCGGGTCTTACAACCGGACGGGAATAAGCGGCGTTTCCAGTCTCGTGCGTCGTACCGTTCGACAGTAAATTACCGTCGCGTCATCGTGCGCCAAATGTTTCCGATCGAACAGAACCACTCGCGGAATCGAATTCGACGTACTGCGCGCCGAGCCGATAACGGGCCGCTATGGATAATATAATAATCGCGCGGATTACGCCTAACGCTATTTCGACGGAATCGGTGTTTCGACCGTTCCTATACGCCGTCGCTGTTGCGCAGCCCGTCGAGTTTTCGGGTCTGGCGCCGACAGTCGTACCGAACGTGTTAAAATACGTTATCGCGACTGCGTCCCCGGTTCCGAAACATGTACGCCGCCGTAAACGGTACTAAACATACGTTTGACGACAAAACCGAGAAGGTACCTTCTCGTAAAAAAGAAAAACGAAAAAACTATACGAATCGATCGGCCGCAAACAGATAATATTTAAAAATCGACAGCTGCGGCGTCGCTCGTATAAAGAATAATGTTGTGGTATTTCCTTTTTTTTTTTTTTTTTTTATTATTATTATTATTATTATTCCGCCGAAAACCACGTCAACATAATAATTGGAATGACGGTCCTCTTCAGTCATGCGTTCGAAACGTTCGGTGCGCAGACGCTAATTGAAAATTTAGTAGTCTGATGGTTTGTTTTTTTTTTTTTTATTATTATTATTATTATTATTCCGCCGAAAACCACGTCAACATAATAATTGCGCGTAAGACGCGTTTTGGTACCGAATCCGTTAGTCACGTTTCACCGTGATAATTGGTGAAACGTGACTATTACAATTATGATTATTATTATCATTGTCGTCGAACGCGATGCAGATATTACAATATTATCATGTCCACCGGGTTCTCCGGCGTGGTCGATATCGTTACCGTATAGATTTTGTGGAAACCGCGAAACGTCGCGGCGGTACGGATTTCTTCGCTCGTCGTTCTCGCCCACGCGGATACGGATGCGGATATACTCCTTACAATTGGCGGCCGTAGAATGACGCTCGGGACGTACTTCGCGAAGTCGCGGGTACGGGTACGCTGTAGCTGTTGTTGGCGGAGAGTCGCCGGGAATGTCGTGGGAATACTGTCGGGGAACCCATAGACAAATCCGCGTCTCGCGCGGTGGCCGACGAGTAGCGACGCGGACGCGGTTGTTGCGGAGAATTCGCATTAGCCGCGCAAGCTGGGCATCGGTATATTTTTTTTTAGGACATGTAAAACCTACACAGACATTCGCCGAAACGTTATAGACTGCTCCTACAGCCCCGAAGGGTCCGTAAATACGTGGGTACGGGGACCGTAAACCGGGTAAACGTCTGTGACAGCAACGCACACCCAAGAACGACGATTTTTTTTCCCCCCGGAGGAGCGCCTCAAACCGAACTGTGTCGGGTTCATTGTGAAATGTCGAAAACCGTGCGATTGCGTTCAGTACACGCACTGTGTTTTTAAATATCCGGGAGTATGATAATTATTTTTTGAACGGATTAATTTAATTAACAACGTTTGATTGTTCGGCCTAGCCCCGAAACGCGCAAAGTCCTTACGTACGTCGCGCTCTCGAAATGGCGGATAAACAGACACTGTGAAATCACGTCTCCAAGCGGTCGACAGGCCAGTGTGCCGACTTCTAAGGCGTAGACAATCGTTCGGTAAACGTTCGCGCACGCCCGGAAAACCCGCCGACGATTGTCGTGCAGTTGTTGATCGCGGTGACACCGCCGCCGTCGGCGTGCCGCGCCCGCGCTCTAAGATCAAACGGAACCGGCGGCGATGTCGTCGAACGCGACCGGCGAACCGTGAAATTCTCTTGTTCGGAGCGCATCTGTCCCGGGGATTTGGTACAGCACCACCTCGCTTCCACCTGCTCGTCCGACGAAACTCCCGCTACCGCAGGCATTATCGTTGGTAGACGTATAGTAGACATTGTATACCTATATACCGTTTACCCGGTAACCGCCAACGCCGCCGGTGTAGTGCCGCGCGATTTAGATCAGGTTAGAATAATCTACGGGGAATTCGTACGTGCAGAGTGGTGCCGAATGTCGTAGGTGACGTCGTATACAAGTCTTGTATACGGACGAATCCCAGGGACAGCCGGAAAAGGAGGTGACGCATCCATCGCATCTAACTAATAAATTCGAGTTTTTAAAGCTCCATTAAAAATGTCTGAATTATGTGACGATGCAAGTGATCCCCCTCAGACTCCGAAAATTTAAATTGAAGGGAAGTGATAGTTTTACATTAGATAAGACGAGGAGACCCGGTCCTTTCCGCCCTACTTGAAACGTTGTACAAACGCTACTGTATTGACTTTTAATGTTATACGTACAGACACGCCCTTGTTTATTTACGCGGGTTTACTGGCCGTTTGGTCCGCGGCTACTGTTCGAGGTCGCCCGTTACGGATTATAATTACGGATTATTAACTGCTGATAATCGAGCAGGTATATTATTATAATCAACCCGGATACCGACAACGAGATTTACCCTAATCAAGAACCGAGTTTAGATCATATTATAACATCATGTTGGGAAAAAATCTTTTTTTTTTTTTGTTTTGCCTTTTAACAATCCGTAGGTTGGTTCGACGTATCTCGTCCACTACTCCCCGCGCCCGTAGCGACTTCCTTCAAACATATATTATTTACGCCGTATAGGTATAAGCTTCGTATAAACCGAAGTCTACACGGCGTTCGCCTTTTCCGTTCGAGTTTTCCTCCGATTACCATAGATAGTACTATGTTACCCATACGCATTATTCACCAAAAAGACGCGCTGTCCGTTTCCTTCCCCTCTGCCCGGCGGATTTTTTTCTTTCTCGTTATTACACGCGCAATAATGAAATAATGTAATATTATTACGAATATTTTTGTCCCCCGAGGAGACGAGCGCAAAACACACACGTGTCCGTACACGCGGAACGTCATTTGAACGCCCGGCGGACCATGAATCTCGGAGTCGTTCGTTGCCCGCCGAGCCAATTATTATTTATACGTCGCCGCGGCCCGAAAAGGTGCACGGCCCCCGCGGACCGTGACCGGTGCCACAGCAGCGTACATTATTATTCGTTTTGTAATTTCGTACGTACCCGAGCGACCGACAACCGTCAACGACGTTTATACAGGGTGTGCCGTATTATAAATAATAATTTATTATCTCACCGAAACGACGCGTTTCCAACAACATTGTCGGCCGTATGCGGCGTGGATGCGACACGATGGCGACTGTGAGACAGAGGAAGCCGGTCGAAGTTGTTTGCCCGTTAAAATGTTCGGTTACAATGTTAAATATGATATGATGTGAGTAGTATGATAATGAGAGTTCTAACTCATGAGCATGAGCATGAGCATGAGCATGCTCATGCTCACGGTTTAGAACCGGCTTTGGGTGGTGGCACATGGCTCATGCTCATGCTCATGAGTTAGAACTCTCATTTTTATACTACTGATGTGAACAAAAACCGGCGCAATCGTAGATTCCTGGTCGTTTTTACGCGTTCGCGAAATTTTCAAAATTATTAATCGATAAGGTTATACTTGATAAACGCTATGACGCGCGGGTTAGGGAAAAGTCATAAGTTAACGACTACTGTGGGATTAATCGTTTATGTCGCTAACATAAAAGCCGTTAGGTCCGTTCAACAGTATATTAAACCTAAACTATTGACATTTAATCCGCGGTAGCAAACACCCGATTCTTCAAAAATCTGGTTTCTATTTTTTTTTTTTTTTTTTTTTTACCTCATGTTTCGCAATTGTGTTTATAGCAAAAACATCATTTACTGTCACGATTCAAATTCAGATTTTTTTTTTTTTGAAAAACCACTTGTGACTTCTATTTCAAAACTGATTGTTTAAGTTTGTTTAACTTTTCAACTTTATGCTGACTTCTTAACTATAGGTAGAGTGCAATTTTGCATTACAGAAGTTATACATGATTGGAATAATTATGAAACGGTTTCTCTGAGGTTTGGTTTTTGTGGCTATTCCCCGCAATTTCTTACCCACGACGAACATACCAAACGATGTGACTAATCTTGTAACGAGTTTTCATTTTATATATTGTCAAACGTCATATTTTAGACCAGGTAACGTGGGAATTGAAAAATCCCATGTCTACACAACATAATATTCGAAAATAACCAAAAATAATAAAAACATTCGTAAACAATTATAATACCACGAGCAAACAAAAACAATAGGTACCAATAATTTCTTATGTGTTTAAGTGTCCACAAAATATCATAATGTCATCTAACACGAGAAAATGTTTATAGAAATCATAAAAATAATAATACCGTTACGGTTACTTTATTGTATAGGTAGTAGGAGTTTTAAATTTCGAATCAGAAATATTTTGAACAATTTTTCATATGTATTTCGTGAAAGTTATTTCAAAACGTGTGTGGTGTTGGTGTATAATGACAAATAGGTGTGCGTTATAGATTGACATAACACGAGACGTTCTGAGCAATGACTGACTGACTGACTGATTCACAGTCTGATTGTCCAGTCCGAACCGTTTACTATGCTTAACTTGAAATTTTCCACCGAGGTTCATTAATACACTATATAACGTAGACGAGCTCTTAAAAAAGGATTTTTGGATATACGAATTCTATTTAAACGCTACTAGCGTCGCGTTTTATCTTTGTCATTTCTAGTTTACCTTGGTGACACGGTTGTAAAAAAAAAAAAAAACATACTATTATTTGATTTTGTCGTTGCAAGCAAGAAAATCAATTTTTTAAAAGCGATTATAAAGAAGAAAGATAAGCAAATACCGGAATTGAGATAGGTCGGGGGATAGGAGGTATATCGACGGGCATTTAATTTGTCGCTGGCAAGGCCGTTTATAGAATATCGAATCTAATATAATAGATGTAATGAAAACGTTGAATAAATTAGATACCGATAAATATTCGTGTTGGTCAATTAAATAGGTGTATTACGAGGAAATTTCAGCGGAAAAAACTCGTATTCAATTAGGTATACAGGTACGGTTTAAACTACCCCCCTTCCCCGACCCAAATTATTTATGACGCTCTTTATGCTCCGGTATAATGTTTGCAGTTCCAAGGCCCGCGATTAAAATATAATAATCGCACGAGTTATTGACGGACGACGATTAACTGCAGCAGACCGACAAAAAAATTAAAAAATTAAAAAAATACAACAACAAACTATAATGTAATATTTAAAATACGTTAAACCGGTAGACCTTCTAGTTCGCAGTTGGTTTATTTTCGTTTTGTAAAAAAAAAAAAAAAAAATAAAACCGCAAACCGATTTGGTTCTAAAATAGTCAACGTAGGCGGGTATAGCGTTTTAATTTATTCTCGAGAACGCGACGAAAAAACCATTACCTACACAACCGGCAACGTGTATGTAACGCGTCTAATATAAGTACTTCCTCACATTCCCGACGCCAGTATACCTACAATTATAATTCTTTTTGGAATCGTATCGATTCGCAATATGTTATGACGACGCGAGCCGTCATAATTTTGTCTCGATATCTGCGCCGCGTAGTGTTATATGGGTGGCGTATTCACGATGTCCTTCTGGAACCGCGGTCAATGACCAACGAAAATAACTGGGCGTCATAAAATTCGGTTACTCGTGCGTACGACGTATAGTCCTCTAAGTATTATCTACCGATTGAAGGTGTACTTCCTCGATGCTCCGATACGCGGTGTAAGACGGTAACGATAAAAATTTACTCGTGCTTTTGTACGGCTAAAATTTATCGTTGCCGTTTTTCCCTAGCAGTGAACGCACCCCTTATTAACAATGGCGTATTGGTACACATTCATCAAAAGTCGTCCCCATTAGCCCATAATGCTTTTGGTTTGTTATTTGTATTATTTTTTTCTGAACATTGGAAACACACATAACTTCTGGGAGAATGCCGGAGCCAGATACTTTTAAGAGCCCGTGTAAAATAAGAAAAAGAAGTTTAAATCTAAAAAAAAAAAAAGCTCTAGTAGGGTGGTAAATTACATATATGATGTGATTTGTAAATACTCGCCGCTGGTATTATTGTCAACAAAAAAAATCATCCTAAGAGAACAAATTGTATCGATTGATCCATAAAATAGAACGCATATACCTACACCGCAATACCCGTAGATTCGGCTATATCTATATAGCTGTTTGTTTGAAATATACCTACGGTCTTGTCTGGGGGAAAAAAATATTCGTTAACAACATTATAGTATTCGTCTGTGCAAAAAGTACACGCGTAAATGTCAACCGTGCAAAACACAACGAAAGCACAACGAACAAATTATATTTGTTTTGGACACGGACAGTAATGTCGGACACACTGTATTGCAGCCCGTAAACGAATTATTTCGTAAAATAAAATAATACGCTGCGAAATGAAATATAATAAACAAGGAAATAAACGGTTTATATTATCAGTCACACTTCTGACCGTCGTCGGCTGCGTTGCCTATACGAAAAATCTATGCCGAAATGAGATCTACTCCGGGTTTCGGATAAAATTGCCCGAAGAAAAAATATGTTGAAAATATATTATACGTATAATTAAAGTGTAAAAAAAAAAAAAAACATATTCGACTCATCTGTAGTTTGCGAACCTTCTGTTTAATTAGACGAAATTAACATATTAAATTTATTTAAAATAAAAATATACAAAATGATAGTATGATAATGAAAAACACCCGACGTTATTAAATAAAATACAAATTTACTCTCGCCGTTTCGCGTACACGATTTATTATAATACTCTGCCCTACGGAAAAGAGTTGGTAAATCGCGACGCTGTCCGGAAACAATGCGACGTTTACTGTTCACAATTAGAGCAGAAAAGTTTCTGAATTTTATGCGTTTCGTCGTCGAACTGTCGTTGTTTAATGGTTCGCCGTAGAGTGTACGAAAATCGAATGTTATTCTACATCGTTGAAATAGTATAATTTTATAAAATGCGACCGGGCAATTTTGACGTTTTCGACGAGCGTAAACGGCGTACCGATCATTATGTTTGAACACTGACAATACACTGGACGGGGAAGTGAACCGGTTAAACATTCGGTTAAAAAAAAAAAAACCTCGAAAATTGGCAATAGATATAACTGCAGTTAAAGACGGTGACCTCGACTGTGGCACCGAACCTAGAGATGGCTAGATTTCCGGGATTTAGAGGAATTTCACTCGAAACTTTCTACGAACAACACCAGGTGTTACAGCGAGGTCCTACTCATTAAACTAAATTATTGTCAAGTCAAACATAAAGCATGCGTATACGGTGTGTTACTAAACGCAAACAAAGAATAAATTATAAATATTATGTTTTATTTACCGTCAAGTACGAACAAAATATTCCGTTAATCTTCTTCTTCGCAACGGGCAGGTTTAGCCGGCCACAATACGATATGTCGATTCAAAAGCACCGTCATAGCCGCCTTTGTGTTTGCGCACTGAAACGAACTTATCGAATTCGACAAAAAAAGTCCCGTCCCGCCAGCGCTCCCCCCGCAGTAATTATTATGGTACTCGCACGCCGTTCGGGATAGCAATAAGTAACATGACCGGGGCGAGGCGATCGGGCTATAGACTTCATAGCGTTGTATAAGACATTGGACGCGGGGTTTGCGTTGAGAACATATTTATTTTGGCGCCGTTGCGTTGTTGCTCGGCGCGCGACCGCGTGGCAACCAGTCCGTAACCGCGGTTCGGGCTTCACAGCCCTTGCACCGGCGTTCGTTTTGCCGGGGCCGCGTTGTCGGCGCTCGTTCCCGGCCCACCGCGTCTTAGTCCGCGCCCTGCGCGCCGTCGCTCGACCACGCGCGCTTGTCCGTGTGCATAAACCGTTCGCGATAAACGCGACCCTCGCGCCGTTGAGCCGACGTCGGCGAGCGCGCGCGTCGCGGAAGTCGTTACCGGCGCAGTGCGGGTAGGACGGGCCGCGCGCGCACGCCGGAACCGACGGCGTTTCCGGTCGGCCGACAATACGTTCGTACCGTCACCGCCGGATCTGTGCCGACGACATTCCGGTACGTGCATTGTGCACTTGTACCATCGTTGTCGCCGTGCGGTCTTAACGTTATTGTCGTTGGCCGTCGGCAAATTGCCGTACGCGACAGCGACGGGCGGTATACGGCCGGCCCTCGCCGCGATCAGTTCGCCGCGCGGCCCTCGACAACGGCCCGGCGTGTTATAGCAATACAATATTTCGGCCGCGCGTTTGCGTTTACGATGTTCACCGAGAGCGGATACCCCGCGCGCGCGCGGGCTTGTGCGTGTCGCGCGTGTGGGCCGAAACGAGCCGGATCTCTTACGGTTTTTCCGTTTATCGTTTTCCGTCTCCTCCTGCTCCGGGGAGGGGGGGGAGGGGGAGGGCAATTTGTCCGAAACAGTTTAACTCGATAAATACCATACCGGAACAATGTATCGGCAATATCGCAACGGCGCGGTAATTCGAACGTAATAATGATACGTGGCCGGGTACCTACGGGTAATGGCGCAGCGGACGGCCCTATAAACAACAATGCGCCGCGCGAAATGAACGAGAAAAAAAACCACTAGACGTGTACAATGCAACGATATTGTGATAGCACGGCATTACAGCCACGCCGTGTACACACCATAAAATATTATAATATAATATATTATACGAATAAACACCGACGGCGGCACGGCCGTGTCCAATCCGATTGATTGGCCATATCGACTCTCGTTATAATGGTAATAACAATAATAATAATAATAATAATAACAATAACAATATCAACCCGTATTTTCTCTCTAGCCTCCCTCCCCTCCCCCTCCTCGTCCCGTATGGTGCGCGCAGAGCAATATTACAGTCGTCCGTCGCGTCCGTCCGATCCGGTATCGTTAAAGAATATCTTGTAACATTATCGAATGGTTTTTTTTTTTTTTTCAAGCCGCAAACGTACTTTACTCGAATTTTCCGCCCGCGGAAATCCGGTTATGCGATAACGCGCGTATATATCAATATAATAACAGTAACGACATTGTAACAGCGAGACAGCGTAGCGGTTTTCCCGTCTCCCGGCGAGACCGACAAAAATGTAGTATACGTTACCAACGATCAACCGTGCACGTTGGGTTAGGTTAGTGCGAAATCGCAGCGTTTCGGTTATGGGGACGGAAACCCGCGCGGATTTTCGGCAATAAACGGTGTAACTGTTGTACTCTTTACACGGGAATCTTTCGGATCAACGGGTTATTCGTACCGACTAATAATCAACAAAAACTCGTAATGGTGAAATACTCGCCACAGCGTAAACCGTACAACGCAAAACGTTCAGTAATGTAAAAACGGATTGCATTAAAAACAGCTGATACTGCTAGTACGACACTTTTGTAAGTGAAAAATCGAGTAGGTGTGATACATAATATTACAGAGTTTTTTTTTTTGTTAGCTGTTTGCAACGATAAATGCAACGATTGTTAAAAAAAAATCCGAATTTGAGCGAAATTTGATGATTATAATTTAAACTTCAAAAAAAAAAAAACTATACTACACTATTTGGTTGAACTCTTTTTTGTTCGACCACTGAGCGCAAAGAATAGTGAGCCTCGTGTGAAATTGTTGAAAATGTCTATACCTAACTAGCTCAAAAATCGTCAAAATGTTGCGAAAATTGCCAAATAATTTATCGATCCCTCAATACACCAAAATGATACGAAAAAAAGGCTCTATTGTCGTTTTCTAATTAGGTAGGATTTCTGGTAGAAAAAATGATTTAACGATGAGAAAAAAAATGTCTCTCACATTATGGTTTTTCGATGTGGAACGAGTGTAACGAGGAATACATTCATCGTTGCACTCAAAATTTAAAAAAAAAAAAAAACTTTAGGTATTTTTTTCCCGCCGTGCCTAATCTATACTTCATTTAAATATAATAATATGGGTACTAAATTACTGAGCACGTTAAACATGTTCAATAGAGCTACTCGGAATGGTTACCTTCTCTAATTTTGTCCTAAGTACCTACACATAATATTATTATCGTCGTCGAATACTATAAATTTCTTTTCGTACCTTCGTCGTAATGTTATCTTCTCGATTTGGTCGTGAAAGTGTAAATATACACACAGGTGTCTATAGGTAACTAACTAGTAATACAACAACATTAAGATAAATTTGATTATATAAACTTTTTAAGAAGAATGTATACACGTTCTCTCGAGTGTCTTAAAGTGAAAGAAAACCGTATACAGAAAACAGCATATTTTAGGTACATTATCGTAGAGATTATTATGATGGTATAGTATTATTAACACTTGCGGAGGGCGTGTTTTTTTGAGAAACTGAAGACATCAATACTCAAATATCATCCTAACTCTCAACTTTTGCCTTCTGAATGTTAGTTGTTAATTGTCAAAAATGATTTGTTTAGTCAATATGTTAATGTTATTGGACACATCTGCAGCACGCTTAACGGATTCGTCGGTAAACGACATAAATTCAAATTTAGGCTAAATCGCTAATATTTCGATGATGTCAATAATGAATGGATAAATTAATTTGATCCATTATGAATACAAATAACATTCATTTTTCTCCTGTCCTTTATGAGTTTCTGAGAGTATATAAGCTGTCGAAACAAAATCACGCCATTTGTCTCGGACCGCGTGTCTTCAAACGTTCACTTACTAATCCGTTTGATTCTTTGAACACGTCGATCTACTTTTTGCTTGGATCTACTGCGAACATATTAACCTAAAATTTTCAACGTGTTTTTCGTCGTGATATCGTTAAAACCCTGTATTACTTATCCTAAAAAAAAAAAAAAGAAAAAAAGGGGGGAAGTCGTTTGAAACGACTCGACGAATCAAATAATTGTACAGAAAATATAACACAATTATAGTAATAATTCCAACCTAACTATCTAGACACTTCAAAAATCAATTTTGATGGATACTATACATTCGGGAGAGAAAAAAAAATATATATATAATATTTACGAACGTGTATGGTGCGTGTCACATTCTGTTGCGCAGAAAAAAAAAAACAAATTGAAAAACATCGAATAATTCAATTAAACGCTCAATTAAGATATAATGGACGTGGCGTCAAATACGAACGCGCGATTTTCGGCGCTGTTTATCGGACCTTATAACAGATGACGCGGCGTCCGAAATATTTAGGCACTTTTATACGTAGCCGCGTAAAAGGAAACCGAAATCACGCGGATTAGATATACACGAGTATATATATATATATATGTACACATGGTTACATTGATGTTTTCGATATAATTCGACCGGTTTTTCTTGTGAAATATAATATTAGGTTAGCAGTCGGCCGGTTCCGGGGTCGGAAAACGCATGCGCCGCGGCAGATGTGTGTCGCGGTTAAGTGAATATTTACACGTGCGAATCGACGAGAGAGAGAGAGAGAGAGAGAGAGAGAGAGAGACACAGAGTAAGAGGGAGAAATAGTAAGTTATGTGTTGTTATAACCACGCTCTACTGGCGATATTAATCCCCGATCACAATCGGTCGGGAAAAAAAAAAAAAAAAAACACGTTTATCGGCTTATCGGCCCCCAAAACATCGTACGTTTTTTGTATTCGAAAACGTTATATCATTACGCTATACCAATTAAATCAACATCATCGACGTTCCTGTACGCATATTATATGAGATAATCTGGAACGGACGCAACTATAGGAACAAATATTACGGTACGTTATATTTCTTGAAATTTGAAATTTCTGGCAAACTTGAGTTTTGTACACGAGTGATACGATATTCCGATCTAACGTATTTCTGCAATGTAATTGTGTACCGGGCCAAATAGGTTTCCTGTATTATACACCGTGCAGTGGCGTGCACAACGACTTTTGACGGCCGGGAACGTATAGTAAATAATAACCGTATGAATAAATCATGAGGATCTTCTCCTGCACGGCGACCGTGCGGCGGGAATGTAAAAGCCGGATCCAAGAATGTCGATTTACGTTCAATAAATCAATCTTTTCGTAAACTCCTCCAGCTAGTACACTGCTAATTTTCTGTCGCTGTCGCGATTGCGGACGCTGTGGTTGCCCGCCGTCGACCTATATTAAGACAAGACGGTCATAAAACGGCAATCGAATTAAAGCCCCCGAATCGGCCGGTTTATAAACCTCTTGTGTGACGGTGCGAGAGAATGTCGGGCTAAGAGAAATTAGAGATTTAAGCGGCGAGTTCCCGAACGCGACGGTTCTGACCAATGGATATCTCGGGATCTGTGCGTCTGTCGTTTATTAGGTAGGGAGTTATACAACCGTGTCTTACCGCGCGATATCAAATAATGTAAACGAATCGCCCTGAGCGAGAACGTCCAAGGCCCCAGTACGGGAATGACTTATTTATCATAACATTCTCTACGCAGATTAACGCTCTCGCTTATAATAGTGTATATGTGTTTTATTTTTATTTTTTTGTTTGTTTAGCAATATTATTGCACGAGTTGATTTCAACTGATACAAACATTACAGCCTCAACGCAATAAATTCATTATTATCGTATTGTTATTGCGTTGATATCTCGGTAGATTTAATCCGGTGGACGCAAATATGGTTAATCACAGTTCGACGGGTAACCGCGGTTATCGCGGACCGATAATAGTTTCGCACGTAGATAATGCAATAAGAGTAGGACATGCCAGAAGCCACTCCAGAATCACCGCGTTTCTGGTTACAAACATTTCAGTGGTACTTATCGATTTTGATCAAAATTAAAATATTTGTTAGGAAAACATATATTTCTTTACATTTTGATAATAACGTAAACGGTTTTATGCGTTTCTAAAATGTTGTATTTTCATAGTTTTTTTTTTTAACTCTAAACAACGCAGCGTGCTTTTATCGCTTACGCTGTTCTTCCGTCACTCTTGCTTATCACTACACTGTAAGTACGGTACATTATTATCGTTAAAAAACTATCGATAACGAAAGTAACCGAATATATTCGCGGCGTCATGCCATTACGGTTACCTCGGCGCTCTTTTAGGCTCGCGGTTTCTCGCAGAATATCCTATCCCTTACGTAGTGTCATCTACGACGGTTTCACGCTCGGGCCCCGAAAATTGTCGTACACCCCGCGGCGCCGTTTCCGTCAAAAACGCGAGCAAAACGGCCGCGACGACGACGACGACGACCCACTGACTCGTTTCCTCCGGGCGCTTATTATATTTTTACTATTATAAAAAAAATCGCAAGTACACACGCACAATACGCGCACGCCCACACACACGCGCGCGTACGCGCTGCACGTATACGCACTGAAACGCTCACACAACCGCACCATTGACAACCGTTAAACAAGTATTCCGTCGTCGTGACCGGATCCGTATACAATGGACACGTTGGCGATTTCTATTATGCCGTGTAATTTTATTTTTCATTTTTTTTTTTTTTCTTATACACCGCCGGCTCCCCGCGATATCGTAGATAGGTATACCGGGCACACTGCAATAATAATAATAATAATAATATAATCCGCCGGAATCGTATATCGGAGAAACGCATCGGCGGCGGCGGCACGCGGATTATTATTTTTATTATTATTTACGACCGGCCGGGAGACGAAGAAGAAATAGGTAAAGAAAAAAAAAAAATAAAAAAAAAAAAAAAACCGCCAAGTCACACGCGGAATTTATTCGTCGTAGCCCGGCGGACGACGCTCGTAATATACGCGACGGATTACCGTGAAAATTAATAACGATATTTGTAATATTTTCAAAACGGGTTTTAACGGAAGCCAGTGTGACATTCGTACACTGCAATCGGAAGAACATATTTTTTTAAAATTTTTTTTTTTTAAATATACAGTATTATCCGTGAGATGGCGTTGTTTTCTATATAACGTGGTCCGCGAGTTTACCGCGGGTGTATGTTCCGAGTAGTGGAAAAGTCACGGCGGCGGTTGTCCGCGTAAACGGCAATGGGTCGCGCGAGACATTTCTCTTTCGTCTACCGTTCCCCGCCTAAATACACGGGTACGGGGTCGGTGGGCTCCCGACGCGCACGTTTTGATAACGGAAACAAAAAATGTTTCTTGTCGCTTCGTCCGACGTTCTTAGGTTTTCGCTCAGCACACCAACTGTCACATCCTCGGTCCGGTGTCGGGTTTGAACGCGGCGGATTTAGTTTTTAGTTTTTCGCGACGTCGCGACGTTATTGCGTTGCGGACCGCCGTTGTGCCGGCACTAATTTCCTCGTTATTTTTTCTGAAGATCGACTGTGTTAGCATATTACAATCGCGGACTTATCACATCTGGACCGGAACGCGCGTCCGGAAGACCGAGAGGCGTGGTCGATCGAGACGGATCAAGACAGGTGGCGTACCAACGGATATTATATTGACGGACGTTTGAAAGAGAACTGTATGCACTCCGAAGACAGCCAATTAAAACACTCGGTTTATTATTCTATATGTCTGTAATGAATTACGGATAACGATCCGCACGAAGACTAGAACTGAACTGGGACTTCTATATTATAGTGTTCGTGAACGATATAATGATGGTGTGTTATATTATTGTTATTTCGTTATTTAAAAAAATGTCAGTCCTCGGGATGAAACCCGCCGGAACGCGTTTTCGCGCTAAATGTTCTGTCTATAGACGTATGAGTCTATATTATAATATCCGATTTTTCATATCCGGACGATAACGACACGCTACATGTTATTAATTTATAATTCCGCTTTTGAATATTACAATATCGTATCGTTTTTTTTATCGTATCCGATCGTGGGTACTCGATATTTTAATAATATACATGGGTGTGTTCCGCATAAGCGCGCGCAACAAGAAAGCGGATGGTATTCGTTCGAACGTCCGCGATCGCGACTAAACTTTCATTTGAATACAGTTTTTTAATTAAACAACACTTGTATTAATAATAATTATCCGTCCCAAAGGTAGTGTGTTATTAAATAAAAAAAAAAAAAATGATAATACTTTAATATGGGTACGCGCGGCGGATATCATTGTAAAATTATATTAGTATAAGTCTTGAAAAATCGTCCGAATTGGAGCGATATTCGGTCGTACAACACTACGACGTGACCGCCGATCAAGAAACGAACCTTTTATCCGAGAAAGTTGCGCGGAAAAAACAAGCGCAATTAAAAAATGTTTTCCTAATTTTCAAACTATGCCGTCCGAATTCGAAATGTATAATAATATCATTATGTATTGACGGTGATCGAAAAGTGGAAAAACGAAAAAAAAAAAAATCAATATTTGATATTTACATTTTACACAGTATGACCAGCACTCGATAAGACACTCATTGTCTCGGAGTGTATGGGCTATTTTCAGAATTTGAATTTACGATTCTGACATTGACCTCACCTAACCTGGGTACCTGTAAACTCCAACAAAACCGATCTTTTTACCTGAATTTAAAACATAGCGTATACTCCTACGTAGTCTCTTTTTATCTGCCTAAAATAGATGGTGTTGTCTCCTACAGGGACCTTTTTTCATTTTTGAGTTTGGGTCGGGCAATGTCTCGTTTCATATTACAGCACGTCTTAAATACTAATATTGGTACTTTTAGATTGGTGTTTTCATTATTTTGTAGATAATATATTGAAATAATCGCAAAACTACAATTCAATACACATATGTTTAGTATAGTATTCTATTAATATAATCGTATCGTATCTGAAATTCTCGAAAGTTTCAATAATGTTATTTCGATACGTTATTTTCGTATATGGAAATACAACAAAATCATACTATTTTTTTTTTCCGCCACTCATAAATAAAAGACTTACAGCATCCATACCAGTAATCGCAGAACAAATTGAATAACTGTATTATTCCTGATAATCCGTTTATTTTACTTATTTAAAAAAAAAAAATCAATCTTTTGTAGGAGTAAACACTATCTTTTATAACAGTAAACACTGTGTGAATGTAGGAGTTCAACAACTTTTACAGGGTTTTACCATCCCCCTCCCATTAACTTAACCTAACCGTCCAGTGACGTAGAATATTGATATTCTGATTTAACACAAAGAAATTCGAATCAAATAAAATCATGCGCCAACGTCCAGCGTATACAGTAAAAGTTACATTGAATAAAAGGGTTTCATACACCAGGGGATAATAATGTTTTTTAAATTAAATATCAGAGTGTAAAAGTTACCCGAAAATACGTACGCATGACTGCCATTCAGTAGTACACGTGTATTATCAAATTCGCGGATCAATACACGTGTTTAACGATTACACGTGTTCCCGTGTATTTCAGTACGCGTGTAATCGTAATCCTTACATTTACGACCGTTTTCAAAACGGATATAAATATTATAATATGACGTCGGGTATTTACCGACCTCGGCATTCGCCGGCGAGTCGCGGTTATAGTCAAACACCTATACCGCGGGGACGACGCTCGCGTTCGCATATTTATTGTTATCGATAAACGGTTTCGCCGGTTCGCGGTGTTGCGCCGACACGCCTAACCTAACCGAACCCGGTGTCAAACACGATAAGCAATAAAAACCTGACCCAACATACGGACTGAACAAACGGAATCGCTTCCGGCGCGGTCGGTTCCGAGGCGTATTGCGACGGCCGATCGACCGACGAATGACCCCACACCTCCCCCCCCCTCCCTTACCGTCGAGAGACTGAAAAAATTAGAAAAAAAAAAAAACGCGCAATAAAACACCGGTTCTAGGTTTTACGACCTAATATATACAATAACCGCGCGCGTGCGAATCGGCCTCGTTCGCAGCGTAATGATATTACAACAACAATAATATACATTATTATTATACACGTATGAGCGCCGAGTGTGTAGGCCCGTTACGCGGTTATAATGTTCGGAATGACGTTTTTCATTTTTTTTTTTTTTTTCCCTAGAAATCTAGTATTTTTATATCCCGCGGACCGAACCCATATAACGTGATGTACGCACGGCGGCACGCGATTCTCTAGGTCTGCCCCGAATACCGGTACGGCCGGGACATTTTCGCGGTCGGAAAACAAAATGAATTTCCGGCGCTGCACGCTTCCGCCTCACAAGTGTCGAATATTGGAATACTATTGCCGTCCTAAAATATCACGCAAAAACTGTACGGTATTACCATAGTGTTCGTCGGCTTCGAAATACCGAGCCTTCTCGCCGTCTCCTCGAATTGCCGGTACGGGGCGTAAAACCCTTCCGGCGGGAGATTTTTTCCGCAGACGGATTCGCGCGGTCTTTCACCGGTTCTTTTACCGTCCAGCCTTTCCGCCCGCCGTCACGTAATGTCGTGTCGCCGACGATTAATATTCGTTTAGCGGACGTCCGATCGGTTTTGTTTTACTTTCCGTTAATTGCGTTACCGTCGCCGTCCGTGTCCCGTTGAAACGCCGTTTCGTATAATACGCCCGACGCGTCGTTCGCCTCCAGGGCCACGTGTTCGTCGCCCCCGGGGTCTATCTCTATCGTCCGCCCCGACAGTATGATATTCCAACGCAATAATAATGTTGTTGTTGTCGCCGCGTTTTATAACATCGCATTATGGATACGCACGTTGTTGTGATTCGCCGCCCGAGGCCGCGTTACACGAAAATTAACGGATAAAAACGTAGAAAAAAAAAAAAAAAAAAAAAAAACCACAACCAAACACTGCGAAGAAAAACGCGCATGCGATTGTGTTGGTTTTTTCGTCGACCCGCGATGCGAATTATATCGCGGCCCGGTTGTCGTGAAAACGCCGATTTACAGCGACAATAATAATATTGTACGCGATTACGGACGGATGTCGGACGCGAACGACAAAAAAGCAAAAAAAAAAAAAACCACAACCAAACACTGCGAAGAAAAACGCGCGACGATTAAAACGCGATTACACGATAGTCACGGACACTGACCCGATCGTTGTCGCCGTCGACGGCGCCATAAGTTTACGGTTTCTACAAATTCGAGCGCGTGCATTCGGCTCACTGTGCGTCGCAAATAACAACATTTATAGTAAACAGTGGCGACCGGTGTGGAGTATCGATGATACTGTGGGAGGATTTTTTCGTTTTAAAAAATCGATTTGTCGCCCGATATTTTCGGAGAAAAACGTCTACGAAATGTCTCTGGAATATACAAAGTAAAAAAAAAAAAAAACCACCGGTGAGTAGTGGAGCTCCGCGAAACAGCCAATACTCGAATACTGCAAAATAATAGAAAACTATTGTTCGCTAAATACTACAAATTAAACGGTTTTCAAAAAAAAAAAAAACCCCTCGGTGATGTTTGGTGGGGGTAGAGATCGAATGTTCAAACCTTCAAAAGACACATTCTTGATAATGTCACTATGCAAAATGTCACCACCCACCTCTCTCCAGTTTCAGTGTAGATTGTAAGGATGGCGTACAAAGCTAAACAAAAACCACCCTGTGCCCGCAACAATACATAACGGTGAAATTCACTTTGAAATTCAATGTTATGAATTTAATTCGTCTATGAACAAAAACTCTAATTTACGAGTTCCAGGTCATTTGGGCAAGAGAAAACCGCTAAAAGTGTTCAAAAGTAACGGGACAGTATAATGTTATTCCGTATCAACGGGAAAAATCCTATGAAAAGAAATTTAAAAAGATAAATCATATTTTCATACCTATCGCGGTTAATTTCAATATCGTCTCGTGTTCGATATCGAATATTGGTTTCAAATCGGTACAGCAAATATCGGATGAACGGATATCGGAACCAAATCTTATCGGTTCGCCGTCACTAACCTTATTTTCATTACCTCTACGACGTTATTTTTATCGTTGGGTAACGAAATTCGTTTATCGGACGGCCGAAGCAAAATGAGTCCTGTTTGTTTCATAAAAAAAAAAAAATAATAATAATAAAAGCTAAAAAACCAAACTATTTATTGATTTTCGCAATCTATATCGTTTCCGGCATTTCCTCCTTTTCGAAGAAAGTTCGTTGTTCGTTTCCGGCCGAATAAACGTCAAAACTCTCAAACGGATACATCAAATGTTTGATATTTGTTCGATAGTCATTGATTTGAGAAATAATAAAAAAACTGGTAACTTTGCTATTAACGTTTTATCTTGTTTTCACCGACGTTATTTTTATATTAGCTCAATAAAATAACGGGTTGATATTGGACTGCGTGTACCGCGTTTTTCAATCTTATAGAAAAAAAAAAAAAAAGTATAGACAAACTCTGTACAGGTTTCAGCGTTTCCATTGTACTATAACGGCAATACAATTTTTACAAAAACGAAAACACCAAAATAATTATTAACTCGAATTGAAGAATCGATCAAATTGCCGAATCAACTTTTTACTTTAATAATCGGTCAATTAGTGAAAAAACAAACATAATTTTTAACGCGGCGACACGTAAAATTTTCGTCCGATTTACATAATTTAAACGGGCCTTGTTATAGACACGCGATAATACGTAATGCGTTATATAATTATATAGACACGGGGGAAAACGGGAGGATAGAAAAAATACGGGGGAAAAAAAACCAAGAAAAGGTTTATAGTATTTAAAAAAAAAAAAAAAAAAAATTAGGTAAATATACAAACGACAACGTGTTGTTATTGTTACGGCGTGTTCATTTTTTCTTCAAATCCATAGCGTAATTTGCCGGTTTTCTATCGCTATAAACGCCGGTCGGTACGTCCGCCGCGCGCGTGAAAACTCAACAATATCGCGACACGCGCAACATATTCTACCCGATGAAAATGACAACAATACACGCGGTTAAGCGTTTCGAGGGGGTTGGGGGGGTTTGCCCCGCGTAGTTTCGCGTTGTGCCGAATATTATGAAAACACGTCGATCTTCGATCATAGTACAATGCATTTTTTTCTCCCGTCGTCTCCGGTACACGTTCGGTCCCCGCGGAAAAGGAATCTAGGCAATTTCGTATGGTTTCCAATTCAATTTTAAAAACGGCTCTCCGCTATAGTCGCTAAACGGTCGAATTACTCGACGGCCTGACCCATGTGCAGGCGTTCCAAATAGCTCGTAGAATTCTATGCGTACGACTTGTGGCCGTTTCTCGCCAAAACAAGGTGTACACACTGTTGTGTGACTTTCGGATTTTCTAACGTTCAGTGTAGGAGTTCGCACGGTCGGCACATGCGCACGCCATTTAGACCGAATGAATAAAGGGAACGCGGGAAGAAATTGAACCGAGTTCTTCTTCGCTGGGCGCCGAATACATTTGACACGCCCGGTACACGACGAAAAAGGCAGACCCCGTTCGTTCGGAAATAATATTTGTGAGTTTTTTTTTGCGTTTTTTTTTTCCAGACCAACTTGACCCGTCGGAACAGTGTTTTTTCCATAGAATAGAATATTATAGTATTTTCTCCTCCGCGTCACATAATATTTTTTTTATCACTATTGTGTGTAATAAGTAATAAGTACAATATGTATTGTGGGTAAATAATTATGATTTACCGAACAAGTAATCAGTGCGTGCGTATGTATGCGATTCTTTTGCCCATTCTTGTTTTTGTTTTTCTTTTTTTTTGTATGCAAACGATTTGTCATCGCTAGTTATTTTAATATGACGCGCGATAGCAGCGCCGCTGCACAGTCGCTTGATATTTTTTACACGTCATTGTTTCGTCGAGCAGATAATAATTGCATTCGCACGGAAAAACGTGACATTTGTATTACGAGGTGAATGTAGACCTCTGACAATATCGAATAAGTCAAGACGGTTCGATGATACATATTGTATATACACGCATATTCTGCGAGTTGTTTTTTTATTATTATTATTATTTTTTTTTTTTTTTGAACTGATAAACGACTAGATATTATGTCGTCCGAATATACGTTTTGTCGAATTTCTACATAGCGTTTGATATCCCAGAACTTACGGTGAAAAATTCGCCGAGAAAATTGGAAAAAAAAAAAAGAAAAAGAAATCGAAAATAATTTGCGTACATATTCCCACTTTGTTTCGACGAATTTTTTTATCGGTATAGTCTCCGCGCGGAGAACCGAATGGAGGTATATTTTACCTCCGGTATTATTTACCACAATGCGATTATTTCACGATTTGGCAAAATCAATGCGACGGGTTTCGTTTCTTGTCAAATGCATCGCAATTGATGAGCCACTGCGGTCCTGTCGTATAACCTCGGACCATACACGGGTAACGATTTTCCAATATCACGTCCTACACACGAATACACGGAAAAATAATATTTTAACGGCCGTGGTGATGGTAGGGGGAAATATCTAAGCTCCGAGTGAAATACGGCGTTTTAATATTAACAGAAATATTATTGTGATTTTTTGTTTTGTTTTTTTTTTTTATTTTCACCAGAAAAATATTATTTTATTCATTCGCCGGTAAAGAGAAAAAAAATATTAATACGTTATGACATTTTGTTTGTTTCAGGTAAGAAAAACGAAACGCAGCGCTTTTTGTCGCGGCCCGGTATACCGCGGTAATGGTATTTTCGTTATTTACGTCGACCATTGTGGTATACGCGTATAACAATATTGTGTGCGTGTACAGATACAGGTACGTACCGTACACAGTTGCACGCGTATAATTTATTATTTCACCTGCAGCGGATGCAGACAGAGCTTACGGGTTGACGTTTTAATTCGTCACGGCCGCGGCGCAGGTCGGTACCTCCCCGTCCCCCTCGTCCACTCATAAAAAATGCTAAAATCGGAATTTAAATTATACGCTTATTTACATATATATATATAGATACAGTATACACGCGCTACAGAACGGATTCGCGTAATGAATAATATTGTTCAACGCCAATTTTGTATAATGCAAACGCGTATCGCCGTCGCCGCCGCCGTTTGTATTCAGCAATTTTAATTAAAATAAGTAAACACTTGACGGAAATAGGTAATATACAGGTATATGTGCGGACGCCCACGAAATCTAAACGTTTTATACGGAATGAAATTCAATGTCGTAAAAAAAAAAAATGGTAAAATATCGGTTGAAACCGTCCGTTGCGCGCCGACCGAATCCGGATAAGGACGCGTACAGTGCACCTTTACCGACACCGGTTTGTCCAAGCAATTTTTTAACGAGTAGTCTCCGCCGAAAATCCTATCGAAACAAAAGTACGACACTGTATTGAGACTTAACGTCCGCGGGTGTAATTTTATTTTTTTCACCCACGCCGGCCGCCGCAGCGTTCGCACGATGGTACTTTTTCCCGAACGCGGCGCCGGCAGTCGTCTTTTACCTTCTTACACAAATACGTAGTTACGCGAATATTGTAAAAAGTCGTCCGCCGCCGTAGAGTGCGCTGTAAACGAAATTAACACCTCATCGCTCCCCGTATTCAGCGTCCCATTTACGCGGGGTCGTGATGACGGGTATGTGTCCAGGGCTCATGCGGATCAGTGGCCCGCCCGTCGACACTGGATGGATTTAAGATAAGCCTTAACAATTTTCAAATCGGGCTCCGGGTACAATTTCTCGTTCGAAAACCGTTCGTCTCTCGTGAGGGGGGGTAGGGGTGTATTCGGCCGTCGTCGACAATCGGCAGGTGCCAAGGACCGTCATACGATCGGTAGTGATACTTTGGTCGAATAGCTGATAATAATAATAATAACAACTTGGCGGTAAATGCGTATCGTCTAAATAGACCGCTTCGTTGGCGGTTAAAAAGCAATAATAATAACACTCAATTAAAAAAAAAAAAAAAACGGGTATACCGTAAACAAGTCGACAATAATTATAAGAGAAAAAAAAACCAATAATAAGGTAACCGGTTGTCGCGACGGTTCGCGTGTCGTACGCGGTTACCGTATTTTGTATTATTTTACAGGCGGGTACGTATAGTCTCGTCCACCGCCCTTAACCGCGGCTGTCTCTCTCCGCACGACAATTGTTGTACATTTGCCTTACCGTTAACAGCATCTTCCTTTAACTGCAACCGGTACGGTCGAATCTGGATGGAAAAAATAAAAACAAATACAGTCGCGTGTGTATATGAGGACGTGCCTATAACCCGACAATAAAGGTTGCGCACAAAGCGGTCTCGTAACCGCGATAACGGGACAACTAGTTCTCAACGGAGAAATATCGTAAATAAACGATTTCAGACGAATTCCGACCGCGCGAACGTCTTCCGGCATCGATTAACCATATACATATGAAAAAATATATGATTTAATATACGTATACAGAGAGACGGTTTTCGTTTGTTTTTTTTTTTCAAGTCCGGGTCGTAACGAATTATCAAATGTACGCGAATGTAATTTAAATCGTCTGTTATTCGCGTGGTGCGATTTCCGCGGGATCCGTGGACGAAATAAGATATAGTCCAAACGACTTTTCTCGTATTCGCAATACGAGTTATTAATTTGCGTGGTTTTAACGTTTTAATTGAAAAGAAAAAAAAAAAGCCATCGTTATTTTTGAACGAAATTCGGTAGCGTTAACAAAATTCGTCAATAGATTCTGAGCGTATATCGATCTATTTAGTTTTGCTACGACGTACAGGTTTTCTCGGAAAACCACTTGTTTGGTTAAAAAAAAATGGTCCGATTTTTCAATTATTTTTCGCCTCGCTTTACTTTTATTTGAAATATTTATCCAAAATACCCAATACTATTCCCCCCAAAAATGTGATTTTTATTTTTATTTATTTTTTAAACGCTTTTTCGGCGAATGAATCCGATCCGGGTTTTAACGCGAAATGTTCACCCTGCGGTACTTTACTTGAATTGCTTTTTGATGTATTCAACACCACTCGGGCGCTCTTTTGGTTTATTCTCGTAAATCAGTTTTACCGGTTAGTAATGCTATCCTATGATGTGCACCCACTTAATTGTTAACCGGAAATCAGTTTTACGAAATTGGCTTGCCTTTCAGACGTTTCTCGAGTGTGGATAATGATAACCAAAGGTTAAAATACTACGGCTTTTGCTTTAACGTTTCGTCTACGTTTAATATAGATATACAACGGCCGCGATAGTTGTGGTGTTTGTTTGACAGTATAATATATTTCAGTTTCAAAGTTTACGTTAAGTAAGTTCATAAGTTTACGCGGATAACGTTCCTGTGTTATATGATAGTTTAACAGAACTTTTCGATGTCATCATAGTATTAATATTAACACGTTTATACGGTTCGCTTTGAATATTATCATCTTAGTAATAATATTATTATTATTATATTCGTAACCGCAAATTCATAAAATTGAAAAAACCATGCAGTGCCTATACGCTCGTTATACTTAACACGTTGATACTACATGGGTATATAGACAGGCGTATGGTTGATTTCTTTAACGCGATAACAAACAGTTTTAGAATAATCTTTGATAACAATCTAATGGCGATTATATTTTTTACATTTTATGAACGTTATCGTTATCAGTGATCAATTCCTATAACAATTATTATCAAGTAGAGCTATAAAAAAATGACGGATATACCTCGATATACATTGATTGGAGCGAGTATTCTGGTAAAAACGAAATCGTTTGAAATCCGTTATGAATTTATGTTTGTGAATGGTCGTTACACACCGGCGATAAGTACAATAATAATATTATATTTTATTGGACACTAAATTTTCATCCGGCGATTGTAAAGCGCTTCAGATTTTATTCGCTCTGAGAAATAGGTGTACGCAGTCGCGCTTTGTTTTTATTGCCTAAATCAAAATCGTTATTGATTAAGTGCCTAACAAAATAGTATTTAATATACACTGAAACGTAATAACTATTATATTGTTATTACATTATACTATCATACGTACACCGTTATGCCATTAACCCGTTATTTGTCTGGAAATTAATTTCAAAACGTTTTATACATACACGACTTGATGGACGAATAAACAAATCCGCACCGTCTATCGTCATCGGTTCGTACAATATTATGTACATACGATAGGCGTGTACCGGAATATTGAGTTTCTTTCATAGTTATAAAAAAAAAAAAATCTATAAAACGGCCGTCGCGCGGTCGCGTTTCGTTTTCGAGTAAATCGCGTACGCGGGCGAGTCGGCCGTTTAGACGGGCGAGCGGGCATTTCAAAGGCGAGCGCGAACGGCGGCAAAATCGCTGCTTTCTTCAAAAGCCATTCGAAAAAAAATAAAAAAATAAAAAAATAAATAAATAATATTATTGTTCTCGGCGGTGTTATAATCACGCACTGTTATACCGCGCGACGGCGGGAGTGTGCGCTTTTAATTTAAATCAAGAACACAAGCGCGCCGAGGTGTGCGTATAATAATGTGGGCCTGTAACACGGCGCGCGCGTTCGAGAATGTCAGACGAGAAAAGGACCTCGGCCGCCCGCGGTTTACGTTTTTATGAGACCCGTACGGGTCACGGGCGCAATACAAAATAAACGACAAAAAAAAAAAAAATAAATAACGCCGTAAAATTAACGACGCGCTTTTCGTTTGTCCCCGTCCGGGACATTCGAACATCGTCGTTGTACGCGTATTTCCATATTATTCCGACGACTTATTCCTTTCGGAAATCATCATAATACCTTCACGCGAGTACGGGTGACGCGATAATTTTTCAACCGTCTGAATCCGTAATCCTCGACATCCACGTACGTGTTCGAATCGTATTCCGAGATTAATAACGCCTACGCGTACGTATGCGTTCGTGCGTCGTTACAACAATTCCGTACGCGAGTGGGAAAAATAATACGATCCTCTATTGTCGCGCTACGAGCGCCGTACCCGATAGTGTTTGTTTGACGTCTCGGTTTATCGTCAGAGCGGCAGCGGATTGCACGCGGTCGTGTAATAACATTCCATTCAAAACGTGAACGCTTTAATAGAGTGAAACACCCGCGATTTTCATCGAGTTTCCCCCTTCGAAATATAGAGACGGTTTCGCCGTGTCTTTTCTCGCGGCCCGCTACTCTTGCACACTTTGCTCTCTCTGGACCAAACGAGGTTGAACACGAGAACTGCAGTCGTTTTACGGGCGGACCGCAGTGATAAAATTCCGGTTGAATATCAATACGAAATTCGTAACAGTTTTTTTTTCGGTAAGAGGGGATGTTTTTTAGTCTAGTACAATTTTACGGACCGCCCATCCCCCGAATGGAGTTATATAGGGCGATCGAATGTATTATAATGTAATGTACCTAATGCGGTGTGAACGTTTTAAAAAGTAATTTCGCGATGGTGATACTGGATTTTACCCTTTTTGGTTACTTAACTGTCTACCACCCGCAACAATGGAAAAATACGTTCGGTTTTTTCATTTGTTGAGTGGTCTAATGCGAGTGCCAATGTCTAAATTATGCGTTTCGCGATTGTAGGGAATGATCGATAGGCTTGCCATCAATATAGATTTGTTGTTCGTGAACCGGCCTTCACTCGGTAAGTCCTTGGATACCCTAAAAGAATAGTTGGACGACGCCTATGGTCACGGCTAAAATATATAGGACTACAAGTTTTCCGAAACAAACGGATAAAATTATTTCTTTTTCTGCGCCCCTTCCCCGTGTGACATGGGCCGATCGGCGCGCTAGGCTGCAGCCTATTCAGTCTATTGGTTAATCAGGCACTGTTCGCGGTTCGGTTAACAGGTAGATTTTTTTTTTTTTTTTCTTGCGCAGTCGGGTATACTACATAATATTATTGTATAAAAAAAAAGGTCGCGTCCGTCGAACGCGCATCCCGTGTGTTATAAACCGTGTAAACATCACGTGCGTCGGTGAAATTCGAATAATTTCGCATTACATTCCGCTCGATGTTATCGATTATAATAATAATATTATTATTATTATTATTATTATTATTATTATTATTACAGTTCTGGACTGATAATTGTTACTTTGAGAACAATAAAACAATAATATCACGTTCGATTTGTACGGTGATTAGGTACACGTGCAACAGTCGCAGCCGACCGCCCTCCCCGCGTACCCGGTAACAATACAGCGCGCAATATTTTTCCTCCCAATTAATAACGTACAATCACAATAATATTATAAAAAGCCGAAAATTATTATATCGACCTCCGCTCGGATAGAGGGTGAACCGTCTAATTGTCTGGCGGGTATCGCGCAATTCTCTTCTATTTACGTCCTCGGCCTAAAAACCGAAAACAATCAAAACGACCGTGCGCGTAAAAGACAGTGAACTATGTCCAAATGGCACAATTACCGTCCTCGCACGAAAATACGTAATACGGAAAAAATATCACGTCAGAAATTATCATTATTATTTTTTGTTTGTTTTCTGTATTTGTGTATTATTTTGTGAATTATTATTCACCTGTTTTTACCATAAACTTCAGACGCTGTATAATTATACAAAACAGTCCAGAAGGTAGGATGGATAAAGTCATTCGGTTTATATCCGCGGCGATAAATCATTGTTGCCGACGATACACGATTCTGAGCGGAGTTCGGTTAAACGACGTGTTTTGAAATGTAATTGTTGATTCTCTCGTCAAAACTTGAACTTGAATTGCTATAAAAAAAAAAAAAAAAATTAAAAAACGCTCAACTTTTTTGTAAACATTCTTCAAGCGTTTATTTTAGAGCTGTAAAGAAAGGGGTTACATGAACGCTTTTTCGGGCGTTTTATTTTATTTTTTTTTTCGATTTAAAACGTTATACGAGTCCCGAACCCTGATTATCATCGTGCGGCAATAAACGGTAATACGCGCGACCGGTCATTGGATTTCAACGCGGTTATGCGCCCCCCCCCTTCACCCGACCACTGTACCCTCCCAGATCGATACCCGCGGTGGTAACGCCGGTAACCTACCGGAAAATAAATCGCGGTCACAGACGAGAAAGACGAGTTACAAAATGCGTTTGATAATTAATAATACGGGTTCTCGCGCGTGCCGGTTCCGTATCCGACGACGACGGCCCGTATATTTTTTAACATAATATTACCGCGCTGAATCGTTTATGGTCCGTCCGCAGCGTCCGCACGCACAGTAATAATAGTAAGTGACTTGTAGTGATGACTAGTAGGTAATAGTATGTCTGCGGGAAGACGCGGTAAACAACACAAAAAGTGTACACACGTCTCGCCTTTGGCAGTATACAACAACAACAACAATGATAATAAAACCACACACGCATTTCCCGTCTGCGTACGTGACGGCATTGTGTCACGGCGAGGGGAAAAAAAAATTTCCGTTTTTCATTTCGTTTCACCTTGAAAACCACATATTTGACAATAGCGACGATATTCGAATTCTATATGTAATATAATATTTGTTATTGGTCTACTCGGTTAACATAATATCGATTTGATCTGTCGCGGATCTCGCGTTATTATATCGACGCGCGACGACGGTGAAATTCTAAAAAAAAAAAAAAAAAAAAAAAAAAAAAATGAAATTGGGAAAAAAAAAAGATTTTTACATTTTTTTTTTTTCATTTATTGTGCGTATAGCTTTTGTACACAATAAATAATGTCATAAAATAAACGCGAGAAAGTAAATCGTAGTAATAATACGCGTCTTGTTGACCGACTTAAAAATATTATATTATCATATGCGTTTATTCGCAATTGAGTTGCGGACCATACGCGCAGCTCATAGAGCATAACGCGTCGAAACGGTTATGATAATTACTAATATTTAAATGAAAACTAATTCACGTATCGTTTTTAACCATTGAATAACTGTTTATTATTTGCATATTATACGGTGAAATCTCCCTATTAACGGACACCTTTAAACAGCGGACATCTCCAAATAGCTGACGTTTTTTCGTGAACGGGGACATTTATACGTAGGAAAACCTCTAAATACCGGACACTCTAAATAACGGACGCTTTTTAACATTGACATTGATCATGTTTATCGTAAATTAAGAATTATTGTATAGTACCTAAATAAAAGTTATCTTTTATTACTATGCGTGTACATTATTATACTGTACATAGCGCATTTCTTATATTATCGCGTCAACGAAATGTTGTAATTTTAAGACGTCTTCAATTAATATGAAAATAAAATGTATTTAATTAATTAATTTGATAAAAATACAATTTACACCTCAAATAGCGGACAAAATTTCAGCGACCGAGAGTGTCCAGTATTCAGAGGTTCCTCTGTATGTATAATATATTGATTCCGAGCGAAACGATCAGCGTATTGGTTATACCATTATATGTGTGTGTGTGTGTGTATGTGTTTTTTCGAGCGTCTGTAACCAACTTTTCTTCCAGAAATCGTGTTGCGTTCAAAAACTTTATAGGCGCGTGGAGGAGGTAATTTTTAGATATTCCTCGCAGTTGTCTATTATTTGACGTTTGGTGCGAACGGTAAAAACACACCGGCCACTCGTTGTACGATTTTCTTTGATTCTAAAGGGTTACCTGTCGTGGCCACAAGGACGATAATCATAGTACTTACGGTGATTTCACCGTGTTCCGCTCAGAATCGTCTTTCGAATGCAATACGGTTTATATCGTTATTTTTTCGATATTCTATTCATAGTAAACTATAAATTAACCAATAACGTACGCCTTCCCGACTCGCATGGCGTCTTATGCCCGTGGCGCGCAAAGTGTATACTGTGGCTGGCGAATATGTTTTTTGTTTTTTTTAAATTACCCTTCGCGTGTTTAACAAAACAATACGCGCACGTCCAATAGCGGCTATTGAAATCGTGTAGGTATGCTCTCGCAAAATTCCTACGCGTGTTCGCCGGGCGAAACAAATAGGTAAGTACGGATAGCGCGGCTGCTGTTTACGAGTAACCGTTTAATAATTATTTATTATTCGCGAACCGTTTAATCGGTTAAAACTCGTGTCTTGACCCCGTGACCGCGAATGTACCCGAAACCGTTTAACTAATCGCGCACGCCCACCTAGGAACTAATCGCGAAAATTCGTTCAACGTAATTATCGCATCGACGTGTGTTTATCCACAGGGTGTAACGCGGAGGTGTGCGACACCTGAAATAACTTTTGTTCCGTTCGACATTCGCGCGTAAACGTTTTTTTCGTGTTACGATTACAGGAGCATCGCGTTATTATTCCTTTAATGTTATATTTTTTTTTTTTTTTTTTTTAGATTAAAAATACGAATTCGCTAGAATAAAAGTTTTCGGAATACCCGATTTTTCCATTTTTTAAATATTAAACGTGTATATATTGTGAAACGAATTTCCAGTCTTGCCAATATGCACTTACGGCGCGTCGTCGTCGGCCGTCTACGATCTACTTCAACCGAAGTTTACGATTATTGAAAATCGTTTTCGTCACTACATCCAAGGCTCCGGCGGTTACTACGGGGAGAAAAAATACAACTCGAAACGTGTTGTGCGGAACAATGGTTACACCGGGCGTCATAATATCTCCGCGTCACGCCCCGTAGCTTTTGGCGGAGGCGTCGAACGGCCCGCGAACCCAATATACGCGCGCGTAATCGAAACGACGATTTCCGACCTGGCCGTAAAACACGGCGGTCGGCCGCTCCTCTGGCGAAACACCGAGAAATACGCCGACGGGCCAATACCGCGCAACGGTAATATTTGTAATTAACGGGCGGCCGAGCGAACGACGCGTTTTCGCTTTTGTCGGGCCGTGGGTCGTTCGGAACGCGCGGTAAAGTCGTGCGCGCCAAGAGTGACCGCGACGGCCGCGGCGGGCGATCTTTTCAATTAAAAAAAAAAAAAAAAAAACGGATCGAACCCACAGACCACAAACTGTTCGACCGGTGAAAAATCGCGCTGAAAACCCAATTACCCAATGTAAATTTTCGTTGCGAAAACCCAATGATATTGTACAACGACGGCGATTATCGTTACGAGCAAACATTCTATCGAACGACGACGCGGTATATTCGTTTCGATTTTATTATTATTATTATTATTTTTTTTTTTTTTTGAGTTGGGGGTGGGGCGCGTTTCGTCACTGTGTTTGTGGAAGAGAATACAACGATGTTCCAGGTCGTACGGATTCACTAGAGAAACACAGACCGAAGCGCATAACAGATGTTACGCATGTATTTACACATCGGAACATGAAAATATTCAAATCGCAATCTGTAAGCATGACAAAATAACGGTCGCTATTTTTGTGCGCACTACGGACACACTTTGTGCACTCCGAAATAACGAATGCGCGCTACGAACAATTATTATAATGTACACCTGTTAACTGCGTTTTTTTTATATATATATATATAATAGACGAGTCACAAGTTGCCGTATAGACTCGAGGAAAACGTTTTTTTTTTTTTTTTAAATATTTACAGTGTAATTAATATCTTCGATAAAACACTCATTATCTCGGAAAGTATATTTACTTGTTCGCAATTTTTTTTTTTTTTTTTCGGTACACTTTATAAAACAAAGAACTCTGAAATGTTACATTATATCACCGTTACTTTTTGGTATTCTTGTTTTTTTTGAAGGTGAAACCACTTCTCACTTTTGATTTTTGAACAGCGACTGAAAAAATTACACGAATGCCATGACGTTTTAATTGAAAAAAATGTCGGCGTTGAAATATTTAAATTCCTTCAACGTCCTATATCATAACACATATCGAATACATGTGCACTACGGAAAGTCTGCCAACAAAATGTCACGGCAAAATAGTTAGATATGGCGGAGACAGTTTTTTGATACGTGCATTCCGCTAAAATATCTCCTCACTTTATCTATTATCGCAGTTTTCCGTTCGGTATTAGCCGACGCTATAGCATTTTCGACAGTTGTGGGGACCTACGATATTAGCTAAATTATGCGGAGGAAATGCGCACGCTAAATGAAAACGTGACCACCTTATGATCATGGTATTACTACCTATACTCGTATATTCGGTCGATTTTCGTGTTCGTAATAAGTGTATCGTTCGTGTATCCCTTGTATTTCATAAAAAAAAAAAAAAAAACATCATAGAGTTCAGCGAGTATCGGTTTTTTTGAAGTCGAATCGAGTTCAAAAGTCGAAAACTCGATAAATCGCACGAGTGTTATTATTATTGTGTACCGTCGTCTTAGCGCAGTAACTCATTAACAGAGTGTTTTCAATTTTTTTTTTTTTTTTTATACAACGCCTTATATGAGGTACAGTATATTGAGCTCTGCAATTAATTTCGGTAATAGAGTAAAAGTAGTTGAGTCGAGTAGCCGTCCGACAATGTAAAAAAAGTAATTTCGATATTGTATCGTTTTTTTATTTTTTGGTTATTACGGACATGTTCTAACCTTTTGTAGACGCGTCTTGCACGGGAAATTCACATGGTGCAGAATATTGATCCGAAACGCATAGTAATATTGCGAAATCAACAATAAAACAAAACAAATAGTAAAAAAAAAAAAAAAAAAACACACGCTTTCCACAGATATAGAAAGGAACTATATTTCATTCGTTTCGACGGGTTTTTAACATCTATAATAACGTCATAATCATTTTATTCGCGTGTTTACAGTTTCGTTTAACCGGGACATTCGATTTTTTTTTTTTTACACAGAAGTAGATAAAATAACGTTAATATTATAGTTTTGTCGATACTAGTGCGCACCTACGTCCAATAAGTTCGTATTGTTCGCTTTCACTTTCTATACGAAATGTATATTCATCGTCGAACCCGACGAGATAACAATAATATTGTATTACTATAATATAACGTTCGGAATAACGTCTCTATTGTCCGCAGTGCCAGATTTCGAGCGTGTGTCGTGACTGCAACACAGCGATCAATCAGTTTTTTTTTTTTTTTTTATTATGTTTTTATTATTATTGTGTATAAAGTTTTTTTTTTTTACGGGGAAAATTAACGGTTTTCCGTACGATCCCGGGACCGCCCCCACCGTGTTGTACGGTCCGTTCGGACACTGCGTCGCTATCGTATCGCCCGTATACATAATTGAACGGTGATTCTCGAAAATCCGGATTTCCAATTTCACTGCAATATTCGAATTTCCGTTTTTTTTTTTTTTTTTTTTTTTTTATTCAGTCCGAAAATCGTATTTTCAGGTTTTTTTTTTTAATCTGTTTTTATTTGCAAACGATTGGTCTGTTGAAATTGTCGACAAAATTTCAGTTACGGCGATTTCGCTGTTGAACGATGAAAATCAATTCGACAATAACCCGAAATCGACGGTTCGAATTCGCACGGCTGTATGTTATACTCTATTATACAGGGTACTCGCAACGCACGACCGCCAGACCGGTATAGCAATACAAGTGCTTAGTCGTATTGATGAGTATACGCGAACATCACGGTAACGAGATACCGCACGTCCGCACGCAATAAGTGGCGTTTGTGAGCGCGAATCCTATCGCGAGCGACAGGTACCCGCGGCAGTGGGCGTCGCGAGCGTTCCGAGCGCATCGCGCACGCCGGGCAGTCCAAGACGTTAAACATGTAGGCACTGCAGAAGCGGTAGTGGATGGCAGCCGAGACGAAACGCGCTTACGAGATTTCACGGTTCCAAAATCAAATTTTATAATTTCATGTAAATATAAAAAAAACTAATCAATTCCGTACACGACGTAATGAAATGTCTATATACCGTACGGGAATATTTTTTCGTAATTTTTTTTTTTTTTTTTTTTAAATATTATTTCGTTATTCCGCCGAGAGAAAACAATCGCGGTTTTCTCGATTATGCGTAGACAATTTTTCGGATTCGGATTGCGATGGTTGTTTAACGATTAAAACGTACGAATTTCCGCGAACCGCGGAAACAGATACCCGAACACGGTCGAATCCATAAGACGCAGAACCACCGGGCACGCGTCTTACGCGTTTTATATTTCAGATCGATTTAATTTGATCTACAAAGACAATTCGTATTTCAAATGAACGTTTGATTCGTGTTTTTTTTTTTTTTTTTAGAACGTTTCTGTAACGCATTAACTCTGGTTTGCTCGTCACCTTATACTGTTCGCCTCGTGCGGAAATTCGTGTCGAATGTGAACCGTACACGTGCAACAACTCGTTTCGCACCCTCGGCGAGACGTCAACTGACGCGCATGTTCGACTCTGCTTTACACCCGAAATCCGATACAGCATATCGTTAAACACCTACAAAGAAATGTCGTTCGAATTTCACGGTTCGCGAATCCTCCGGGGAAAACACAACAATGTCCATGGTTATGCGCGGTCGGGCATCGTTTTTTTCCCGAAGCGCACTAACAATCGTACCGTACGGTCCGACAATAAAAACTGATACCGCGATCGCAGGATAATTATCGTCGTGTTTGTAATCCGTGCGTATTATCGACGGTCTGCGTTACTACAACACAATACGTAAACGTCCGTTAGAATGACGGTGACGACGACGATAATACGATCGACGCGGTTTCGGTCACCGCGAAATAAAAATACTGCCGTCGGCCATAGTCGACGGGGCGCGATTTATAGGCAACCATTTCCGCACGCGTCGTCGTATCCATATTATTACGCTCGTGTCCCGCCTCGTCCCGTCTCGTCCCGTCACGTCCCGCCTCGTCCCGCCTCTTCTCGTCTCGTCTCGTCCCGCCTCGTATGTTAAAAATTATTCAATATCAATCGAATGTTTGAGTTATGAATTAATCTCAATTTCATTAATCTACGATTTTGGACTGATAATAGGAGCTATTGAAAAACAAAAAAAAAAAAATACCATCCTAAAATCAGTATGACATTTCTCGAAATCCTACGAATATAATAGAAAACTTTTGATAAACTAAAATAAATCGGTTAAGCCGAGTCTCATAAAAAAAATACTGCGCGTACCACATAATTAATAAAATAATTACGATTGCCTATTAACCTAAATACCCGAGTGGAATGTTTTTGTTACACACGCGTTTAGCGCAGTTCTCATAATATTACAGCGCGGTATCGGGAAGGTCAGGGAATTTTCCGTTGATTAATCAAAACGAAAAAAATAAAAAAATAATAAAGATAATGATAATAATACAACGATATAAATGATTGTGTTCGCGAAATAATAATTCCCATTACTTTCACAAAAATAATAACATTGCGATTCGCGTACCAAATTTGCGTACATATTATTCCTGTACAATAACATTATGTTCGTTTATTTACGATTTTGCCGTTACCCCGTTTCGTACAGAATTTAACGAATCGCCGTCGTCGTGGTCGGTAGGAAAAAAAAAAAAAACACCGAGCCAAACGTATTTAAATGACCGCGGCGGGACACAGTGAAAGTATAAAAACTTGTTTCCCCACCCCCCCCCCCCTCGACAAACGTTGCACAAGTACCAACCTAAAATACATTAAAACATTTACCCAGATATTGTTTTACATATTAGGTAGTATTGATAAACGTGGGTTTTCTTAAACGAACGCACGCCCGTGTACGGACGGCAGTACTAATTATACCGATATCGGTGGCGTCTTAGGAGTTTTTTTTTTTTTTTATGACTCGGCTCCTCGAAAATACGATTTACAATAAATTCCCATATAAACCAATATCGTAAAAGACGGTCAAACGAAATTCAGTGGGAGGGAGGAGCGGGGGGTTATCAGGATGTCAGAAGGGGATGGGGAGGTGGGGAATTTGAATACGCCATCGTATAACAGTAGTGTGATTTTTTTTTTTCGTTATTTTTTTCGTCTCCCGCGGAGTGTCATAATATCCGAACGTTGTTTTTTTTTTTTTTATTTTTTCCGTTATCCGTCGGCTCAATCGACCGTGTAATGCAATCACGACACGTGACCGGACGGGTTAATTCGCGGTCGTCATACTTAACCGTCGGTATACCGCGATCACGATAACGTCATTACGATAACGCACGTGTGTGTGTTTGTGTGTTTTTCCACCGGAATTCGAAAAACAAAAATGACCGAAACCCGTCCGAGTCGTCCGACGAATCTGCGGTTTTCGAACAGTATGTGCAACGGACATCGATCGTGTACACGACGAACTCGCGTAAAGTTTTGAAAGCGGACCCGTCAATGTAATATCGCCGCGGCTAATGCGAATATTTCCGGTCGCTATCGAGTGGCGAACACTCGCCGCGGAGAGACTAGCGAGCATATATTCGGCACTCGGGGTGACACGACGGTTCTCGTTTGCAGACGACCACGAGTCGAACGCTATACGGCGTAAAAGACGAAAAAAAAAAAAAAAATAAAATAAAATAGGAGATAAATCGGTAAAGCGTCGCGAAATATCGTTTAAGGGCCCGGCGAAAGTTTTCGAGCTTTGCGGCCTTGAAAATTAAACTCAGACCCCGCGATTATGATCCCGCAGTGAATCAAGCAGAGTTGAGTTAACAGTCTTTGTCCGATATAGCCGAGTATTCGCGGACAACGACTTCCCGCGTAAACCAACTTCGGCAACCGGGACGGTCGATTGTCCTGAGCTTCAAAGGTATATTAATTTTAAAACGTCCTTTCATGTTGTCACCGCGCACGTCAAACTATTTCCGTAGTCGGTCAATTCGCAGGACGATGCGAAGGCCCGTTCGTTACGTATAATGTGTCGCTCAAAATGTGCTTCTGTTTTGTTGATCTTCTTGTGCGTTTAATCTAAATGCATATCAAATGTTTATAATTGTATCGGTACTTCGGGCCCGTATCGAATAAAATCGAATATAGTCAACTATAGATACGGACGACTCGGGTGACTCGGGTGACGGTAAGTAGCGGCTTAAATTGTCGCGGAATATGTATTGGAGTCGAAGAAAAAGAAGTAGATGAAATTCAAATGGCGTAAAAAAAAAAAAAAAAAAAAAAAAAAAAAAAAGAAAAAAGAAAACCCGTGAAAACGAGTGGACCGAGGTTTCTCGATACTTTAACCGAGAAAACTGTCGAACGGACGAGAAAATCGCAGTATTGAAAGAAGACGAAATCGCAAAGTCAGTGCGTTAATAGGCGAGCATTTATACAGCTTAACGTCCCCGGGCGGTAAAACGTTAAATGTCGTTTTTCAATCGAGTGTTATGCGTGCGTACATAGTAAACCGTCGTCGATCGGCATTGAATGCTAAACAGACGCGTGCACATTCTTCGGCGACTCAACCGCAATTATATTTTCAACGCGCGCCTTTGCCTGTTTCAAAAAAAATTTAAAAAAAATGTCGAAGTTTTACAATAGCTAATAATTTAAATTTGTTCATACTAAAACGCCGTCCGTCCCGGGCGAAATTTAAAATATCGCCTCACCGCAGAACTGACGGTAAAACCACTTGTACTCGCAGTAAACCGTAACGGCGTGTGAATACACGTGGTGTACGTATAAAAGTTTCCGAGTAGAATCCACGACACGGTCGGCCCGTAAACGCGTGTAATTTCGTTATCGTCCGCGATGAATTTTACCGTCCCGTCCGCGAGTGGGCGGTCCGTGTATTATTATGTTACACAGACAGGTTCGCGTACATTTAATACGACCGAGAGGAAAAAAAAAATAATACAAATTATAATAATAACACGTCCGTTACATGTTGCATTAACACGTCACGAAACTGACGGCGGAATAGGGTTTGCCCGTCCGAAGGGGTGGCGGATGAGTTGCCAGCATGGGGAAATTGCGAACGGACGTAAACCGCGCAAACACGCACGCGGACAATAATAGTTCACTATTTGTCCGGCAACGGTTTCTAGACGGAGTACGATTTTTCAGAATATTTCGCCTCTTTTCGAATTATAATCTGTGCGTCTTTCCGAAATTGTCTGCGGTTCATAACAAATTGTTTTAAAGAAATAGATAAACAACAAAAAAAATTTGAAAATTCGATAGCCGGTCCAACGTACGTCATTCTCACTGCATACAAACACCAGAAAAAAGTTGTACCGTTTAAATATTAAGTTTAGTAAAAAAAAAAAATGTCCGTAACGCGTTTGCGTAATGGTATTCGCCGTTGCGGGATTGTGCAACATCGAAAACTCAAATGTTACCCCGTTCAATACCGCGCCGTTCGGGGTCCGTTTATCACTCCGGACACACGAACCGCAATAATATTTATATCGGACTTTCAATGATATTATTATTATTCGGATGATACCGACGGCGCGATTCGCGCTCGCCGCCGGGCGCGGCGAAATTAATGAGAATCATGGGAATTCCGTTTTGGTATTCCGGCGTTTCGGGTGCCGGGGGATCGAGTTCTCGCCGCGCAATATTAATATCATCCGCCCGGTACAATACGATTGCCGTGACGCCCCGCAGAATAAATTGCGTACAGTTTCAAAGAAGCCATCCCAGGTGTGGTTTTCGGTTGCGCAAGCGAGAGGCGCGCTATTGTCCAAAAACGTCGCGGATTAAGTGCCCGTATCGCATAATAATACGCGCTTACACACCTACTCCGCGTGCGCACCGTGCGCGGTACCCGAACACTTAATATCGCGTTTCGCGGCGCCGCCGCGCCGAGACCGTTTATCGGGTTTAATTTTAACGTCGTCGCCAATCCGTCAGACGCCTGGCAAAGGCTTACGGCTTACGTCGCGAACGGGGGACCGCGATTTTCTCGTCGTGCAAATGCCGCGCGGCGTGAACGCGTTACACGCGCACGCCGCAATCGGCACGTCGCACGGATTAGCGGCGTGGCGAACGCCCGGGCGCGTCGCGGAAAATACCGTTTCGAACGCGCCGCGAGCCCGACCTTTGGCGGGCGCGCGATGACTGCGCGCGTCGTATCGATATCGCCGCGTGACGGTCGAACAACCGTTTTGAACCGAAAGTGTTCTGATAACAATAGTAATAATAATAATAATAATAACAACACAAGAACGTCGGGAAAAAAACCGAAATGCCGAGAAGTTCTCCGCCGGAACGGCGCACGATATTTCGTCGGGGAACACAAGTCTCGCGAAAGGATTCCGTCGCTAGCGGGGGCGTGGCTGCGGGGTCGCATACCCTGCGTGTCGCGCCCGGAATACCTGAACGTCGGAAACGCGATTACAGTTATAAACGTGCGCTGAACAAGTTTTGCAAAATCGCTCTCTATTCTCCACGCGTGACACTATAGTACACGCGATGTCGTTTATCGTTATCTGATGAATATCAAATATTAAATACGTTTTGATAAAACCGTTTGGGTGTCGTAGGAAACAAAAAAAACCGAATAATATTTCAATTTTCGCGTCCGTACAAGTCACGAGCTGCTCATCGGAACGGACATTTTCTAGATAAAACATTGAGAAAAACCGAAAATTACCCGAAAATTTGTTTTTTCCGGCGAAAAAAAAAACAATACGGTTCGGAGCATAGGTCGAATATACCCGTATATCTATTAGCCGCAATGAAAATTTACAAAAAAAAAAAAAAACTATAACATCGTAATGTGTCGCAGCAGACATCACAAGAACATGGTATTATCGAGGGTTTGTATGGATCTGCTGGGGGGCTACGCAGGTGTTATGCGGCACTCTTCGAAAGCGTCGCGTCGCCGAGTGTGACGACCGTGTGGCGCTTTCAAAACACGAAACGAGTGTACTCAATATAACGAGTCTACGGTTCGTTCACGAGTACGCACCGGGTATACGGGAGGTACGCTCGCACGTAACCGCGGTTGCCATTCACGGTGCACTGTCGTCGTACATAATACGTGCGTCGTCCTTTGCGCGGCGAATCCGTCTTCGCCGGTTTCACAAAGCGTCGTAGATTTAAAAGCCGTTAATTTTCCTCCGTTAACGCGTCCCCGCCGAGAATCCGATTGCGCGCGCGCGCGCGCGCATCGTGCGTTACCGGGAGACGACGACTCTGTCAGTTCTCCGACTGTGTCCGGCGCTCGGACGGCGTCGGTCCCGGCGAACCGTTCGTGGTGCGACTGACGGCCGTGTTATTGGCAAACGGCGATCCGCAGTACGGGATTTGATTATTTTTACGGGCATCAGGAGCAATAATAATATCATTGCGTATGCGTTCGACGATTAATCGGTAAATGTCCAATAAACCTCAGGCGCTTGGAAAATCAAAAACGAAAAAACTAAATCGTATTATCATAATCGGAATGGGCCGGCGCGCGCGCGAACCACACGCGTCACGATAACTTTTATCTCGCGAAGAAATATAACTACTCGAATTCTTTTTTTTTTTTTTCCCCGCCTAAACATTTCGTTCCTTTCATTCGTTTTTTTTTTTTTTTTTTAAACGTTTGACCCAAAACGCGTACGCGTAACGCGTACGCTGACGATAAAAATGTGTATCCGCAAAACATACACGAGCACAATTTAACATCATTCTGATTTTAATAAAACAACGAGAACCTGTTTGCGAGACACGCGTATAATAGCGTGACCTGCGTTCTGCGCCTATACCCATCATACGGATAAGGATATAAGACAATTTTTATAATCATACAAAATAAACACGAAAACAGTGGTATTTGTTATTTTTTTTTTTTCGCCGTCACAAATATAGGTTATATTCATCGTCGTCGTGATAAATCCGATAGGAGTCAGTTTTGTTCGTGCGTAGGGTTAGGTCGGGCGATCGGTACCGAACTACTCGTGAGGTTGGGGTACTCGAGGGTTTTCTTCTCTCTCTTCCAGAACGTTAACTATACAATAATAATGTTTTCGGTCGAGTTATAGGCACGCTGAACAATGAAAATCAATTATTTTTCTCAGATTTCGAGTACAACGGTGATAGAAATATGGAATATGGTTTTTTCTCTTGGAAAACGCTTTTTCGGTGCGAGTTAAACGATCAGAAACTTTAAAAGACGCTGAAGTCTCGTATTTTATTCGAAACACATATCGAAACTCGCGACAGTCTACCCAGCCCCTCTCAGGTTCTTTTGCCGGGCTTTTAATTTTCGCCGACTTCCTGGTCACTTTATGGCCAGAAGCGGGAAAAACACGACTAACATATCACTTCGCTCCGAATCGTTTTGCGTTCGCAACGATTTACCTTCCTACGGTTCTTACCTTCCCAACTCACAAGAACTTTACTAGAATATTGCGTTTGTAATTTGTGCAGATGAGTTATTGTACAATAGTAATAGTAAACTTAATAAATAATCGATGCCCACGACATTTCAGATGCCTACAGATTACAATATTATTACTATTATAGCTACTAAATACATTATTCTATCGGATTTGTAAACTATTGTATTGAGTTTAGTGATTTATACACAAAGTAAAGATTGTTTACATTTCTCTTTTTTTTTTTTTTATCCTCCCCGGAGCGCACCATCTGGTTTAGTAGTTATTATCGTAGTAGGTATAATTTTGACGGCATGCCATTAATTCTGTTGTCTAGAAAAAATGAATGTACATAGTTTCGATAAGACTTTAAAAATTACTCGAATTTAATAAAACCTAATAGATTTTGTAGGTAGTTAAATTCCCGTTATTTCATGTAAACGAAAATATTCCGAATACTGGTCGGTTTTATTTACTTTTTTAAAACCATTTTAAAAAGTACATTAACTTGTTTGGTCAGGGGTTACCAAAACCACACACTCATCTACAATGGTTTTTAACATAAAATCCCGTTCGACCCGACATCTAGCAGGTGTTTCGTAATACTCGTTTAGTTCTTTAGTTAGTTTTGACAGTAGATGGTGACGAAGTTTTAAAGTCAAAGACCAGACACCCAGGTAGCAGTGCACACGATCACCGATATATGGAAACAAACTTCTTCGAATTCGAAATAAATCGTGTATTCATGCCTGCGAACGGAACTACCGGACTTTTTGTCCAGAAATTGTCAAGGAAAACTCGCCGATATTTTGATTCTACCGCGATTCGACAAGCCAATTATTCGATTGGCCACCGCAACTGAATTTCACTATAGGCGATCGTTGTTTTTGACCGTACACAGTTTTTAGCACGGGTATAGAAACAATAATGGTTTAGGTTAGGTTCGTTCTCTGCAGAATAGCGCTCCCGTTGGAATGCAGGACTAACTACCGATAATGATAATATTGCGACCCGTAAAAACAACAGTATAACGACGTACGTATCGACCGTCCAGTTCGAGACTGCAAACAACTTAAAAATAATAAAAATGATTACCACCATTTTTTTTTCCTCGTTCCAAAACTATTTAGATTCAATAACGCGAT